AGTACCTTTTGTAACATTTTGCAGGATATCCCCGTACCACTCTGCTCTTTTAACCACAATTTTAAATACTTTTTATTCATAAACTAATCATCCAAATTTTGGTTATTATATATTGAAATACTCCGATAAATATTTTACTCCAATAAAATTAAAAATGTATATTATCATTCAAAAAACTGAGAAACTTAAAAAAAAAAATTTATTTTATTTCGAATAGAAATTAAGTGAAAATAATATTTTCAAAAATGTTAGTACCTACATTTTGAAGTAATGAAGGCTGTTTGATAAAAAAAATAATACAGGATACTGTATTTACCCATGTTATGATAATAATATATTGCTATCAGCTTTGTGTGATTACACGTAGATACTTTTTTATGCGTATTATTAAGCATAATGTGATGTACTCTGTTACTCTCTTATGTATATGTACGTATTAATAAGCGTAGAGTTGCCAGCCCTTAATGTAAGTAATCGTCTAACTATCTAAGCCTAATTATTGTTATATCTATTATCAGAGTCTCGTTTTATCGTTTATTATTATTTGAGTACGCCTCGCCATCACAAACTGTCAGTGATTATTCCAATGCGGAAGAATGAAGATATCGGATATGGGTTGACGTGCTATAATAATAATTATATTTACTGATCGAACATACTTTCATACTAAATACATATGTTATAGTTGAATTTTGATTATAATTCAAGCAACGTGAAAAATTCAGACATTATAATATGTATATCCTCGTCATTTTTGGACAGTTTAAATAACTTTTACTTTTATCATAGATCACGTGAGCTTAAATATATATATATATAAATATTTATACAATGTAGGTCTATTTATTCGTTCAAAATATATATACCTTTGAGTTGTACAAAATACATTAAAAACTATTAAAACATTTCGTGTTTAATTTTTTATTTTATTATATAATAGTTATTAAACATAGGACCTATAAATATTAAATATTAAATAAATATATATATATTATTATATCTTATGCATAAACAATAGTGGTTACCTACTTTTGATTCGATATCAAGATAATAAATACCTTTTGTTAAATACACTCGATAATTATTTTCATACGTAACTATTCAATTTTTTTTTTTTTTTTGACATTTCTGAATTTCCAAATTATAAATTTCTAGTTTATTAATTTCCTTCTGTTTTCTTATATCTATTGAGTATTGGATATTAGCCTTAAAACTATGGTACAAAAAAAAAAATAATAAGATCAGCCTATTCTGAGTTCCCTGAGAACACATAATTACTATAACTGAAAATACCAACCAAAATTGAATAATATTTGTGTATACTAAAAAATAATGATTTAACACAACATATAAAGTGCAAAGATGCTGGACTAGGTATGTACTTAGAACATGTATCAAAATGCAATAGAACTCATCCGTAATATTTCAATATAAATAAAAAAAAAATTTTAATGTTTAATTATATTAAGAAATAATAAAATATTACTTGTAAAATCATTAATCTTTTAGTTTGTTGAATTACTTTGAAAACTACGTAGGTATATAACTTCACATTTTACAAATTACATTGCTCACTAAATCAATAATAATGATTAAGAATGTAAAAGTCCCGAAAATTCTATCTCTAAATCTTAGTTACGTCACTAAATATGATATTATTACTTAGACATTAGTTATTTAGAAAATATAATCAAAGTTAACGAGATGGAATTTTTTATTCTTCCGTCACAAAAATAATTTCAAATTGATTAATAATTATATAACATGATCTATTAAAAAAATTATATTCTACCAATATAACTTAGGTATTATTATAACAAAATAATACTATAAACAAGTTAAATACAAAAATATATTTATCGAATGTACATTATAATATGTTACAGGTGCGTGTCATTTAAGAGGACGTCACAGTGTCACACCCACATATCGTCTATAAACGTACAACAAACAACATAGTAAATTTTTGTCTAGAAATTCCAATTTCGTGTATTAGTTTTAATATTAGAGTGATTTTACCTATTGTGGATTTTAATAGTAAGAATGTAATTGGTATTTTTAATATTTTAACTTAAACGAAATATGAGTATATGAAATAATACAATTTAAAGATACACATATCACACTTAAAATTAAAACTAAAACCAAAAAAAAAGTTATGAAATAAAATATGCTTTTATATTATATATTCTTGATATTCAATATAATGTAAGTAGTACATATTATCTATAACATCTAATAGCATTTTTCTTTTTTTTTTATTATATATATTAAATAAGTTTAAACCTAAAGATATTTATATTTAAATTTAAAAAAAATATTTGTAGTACTACATAATTTTAATTATTGCAAAGAATTTTAATATAAACTAAACATTATTATTTTCATTTAATTTTCTATCACTACGAAAATTACGATTAATAATATTTGACTAGGTTATTTGTTTTTATTTTTCGTGTTATAAGAACTCATTCAATTAAGTAAATCCTTATTAATACATTACAAACTTACTTTTTCAAATAAAAATCATAAAACTAAATTTTAGTTTCAAATTTTTCTAATTATTTAAAAAATAAAAAAAAATAAAAAAAAATTGACCTTAAAATTGTTAAAAAAATAAAAAATAAAAACTGCTTATAATGATTTAAAAATAAATAAAAAAATTTATGTTATAAAAATGACATTACGTAGCTAGTTAGTTTTGGAAAAGAAAATGAAATCCATCGAAATCTCAGTCCTATATTAACTATGTTTTGAATAACCCAAGTTAAAGACATAGGTTTTTTTCTTCTATCAAATAATGGTTTCAAATTAATCTTAATTCATGTGGCACGATCTACTGACAAAATTGTATACTTTATCACTTCGGTATTATACTGTAACGTAGTTGGAAGAACGGCCAGTTAAATACAGGATATCCAGTGAAAATTTTGGGATCCTGTGGATATAATTACCATAGTTGGGGATAGATAGAGATAAAGAATCTGGAATATATTTAAATAACTTGAACTCCATGACAATTATTATTATTATTACATTGCCTACCAAATACTTGTAACAATTGATACTTACAAAATATATATCTTAAAAGTTTTAAAATGGTAGATGACTATATTGTAGCATTATGGAGTTCGGTAGTCGGTTATCTGTTGATGTATAATATTATAATGTATACAATAAACTGTTTTTCTTACATTTTGGCAAAGGCCTTACACTTAATTGTGTATAAGTATATTATTGTATCAGTCAGCAGTTAGAAGTGTACCTAGTGTCATGTTACATCATTATTACAATCCAATACTGTCAATGTAAAAAAACATTTTCTATCATAAATATTTTAAACACAGAAAATATATTTATTAAATACACATTAAAATATTATATATTATGTATTAATATATAATGTGTTCTTTCATGGAGTACTAAACACACCCATACGTATCGTATTGCTGTTGAACTTATAGGCTGAAGCCAATATATTAAATTAACATACAAACTAAAATTACTAAAATATAGTAAATATGTGTTCAATAGTTCCAAATTTGTGTTATCAGTATTAATATTAAAATGAGTTGATAAATTATAATTTTTTATAGTATGAATGATTAGCAATATATGAGTAGGTGAAATATCTTAATTTAAAAATGACATATTACACTTTAAAATCAAAATATTAAAGAAAATTGACGTAAAAACTATGAACTATTTAAGGTTGAACATGGATGAAAATAGATTGAAATCATTGAGTTTATTAATAATAGAGACAGAATAAGTAAACAAAATTGATTTTCATGATGTAGTCATAACGCCGAAAGCCATTAAGTATGTAAATTAATAATTTTTTTAAATTTACATTATTAAAGTTCTTAAAAAATGTATTATTCCACAATCCTCAGTAAAGTTTTTATTTTTCATTAGTACACATTTTAATATATATTTTTTTTGTACCATACATATTATATTATAATACATGGGTCATATATTAATACTATATTTTTATTTCATATTTGTAACTTAAATATTTGAGGAAAATGTTAATATATGTACCTTTTATCAATATAGGTACCTAATTCTTATAATTCCAATACTATATTATAATCTTATGATTTCAATATTAACAAAAGTTCTTATCAAAGTATAAAATAAAATAATTTATTTTTATACCTAAAAAGGCAGACATTTTTTTTGTGCTTACAGCGGCACAGTAATTAAATCCGGTACTGATTGTAGCTTACATAACTGCGGAAATTGTAACTCCACATGCAATAATAGCGTTAACGTAATTATCTTTAATAATTAGTTCAGAAAGTGTCAGATAATGTCACCAATTTAGACGACATCTGAAGTCAGGAAATCGGCCGGTTCGGTGATAAAGTGCGTGTTTCTTGAAAATCATAGACGATTTTGCCAAATCAACGATGTCGGCATCGTACAATCGTGGGTCAGCCCGCTGTAGCTGGCGCTTATTGTACCAAGTCAACGTCGAACAGTAAATATTATCAATAAAAAAAAAAACTAAAAGTATACACTATTTGATTATTTATTTCAATTTGTCATAATTATTATTTTCATGTTATTCTTGCCACATTTTTTCCACTTAATTTTTCTGAATATACGTCCACATAAACAAGAAAAAGTAAAATTTAATCCATTAATAATTAAATAACAATCATCCAATTATGTCAAAATACGCTAATTGATCTATCCTCACATAGTTAAATTAAAAACAATATTCCACCAAATATATATTAAAAATTCAGATGAGTCACTATTAAAAATTAACTGAGTATAATAAATCACAATGCACCATCTTATTGAATCATATATTTTACTATAATATTCAAAAGATTTAGAGGAAAAATAACAACAATAATAATAACAGCGATTACAACTAAGCATAGCACATAAAAAATACAACGGTTAAATTGTTTGACATGTCTATACACTGCTTTGAAAAATTAAAATATTTATTATCTATTAGTTGAAAGTTTCATTTTGTTTTATTCGCGTTTATGTTTGACATCATGGAAAAATGTATAAAAGTAGTTACAGATAAATTTTAGAATATAAAAGATTATAAACAAAATGATAAACGTAATGAATAAAAATGTGCTAATTACATCAAGTAAGAAATATTGATACCACGTCAGATTTAGAGCTTGAGATTTTAAATGTGGCGCTCCATTATGACGTAAAACGTACTCAGCCCAATAAACTGCTGAATCAGCGGGTGACATAGGTCGGTCTTTGAACCGTTGAGAAGCGATTTTAGCGTTCTTCTTGTATCTGTTGGCAGACATACATAAAGTAGTTGATATTATTCTTACATTTTATTGAATAATTTAAAATTGCTCACCTATCGTTGTTAACAATCTCCAAAATGGCATTCAACAGCTTATCTTCCGTAACAGATAAAATATCCATACTGATCGCCATCCCCGCGTCAACCAAATTGTCAATATTTCTCGGTTGATCATTGAAAAAAGAGAAACCGAGTATAGGCACACCAGCATCCACGGATTCGTATACTCCGGATATACCTCCATGACTGATAAACAGTTTTACATTAGGATGCACTGCATATTAATGAAGTCGGATTAAATAACATTTATAGGTAATAGTCTAGTTTAAAACTACATGTCATTAATTCAATATAACGGTGCATACAAAGTATATGACGTTGCGGAAACCATTTCAACGTCATCACATTCTTCGGTTTATCTTTCATTTCTCCTTCATATTTCCACAACACCTTTTGCGGAACCTTATCGAGTGCATTTCGAAATGCGCGCTGAACGGTTTCCGGTAACGACGACATTAGAACCACAGAGCCGAATGACAAGCATATCACTCCATGAGGTGCATCGTCAATGAATTCTAAAATCTCCTGTGAATAAAATATGAACTAGTTGTACAAAAATATCGCCCAAAGTCGAATAACAAATAGGAAAAAACAATCTTCCGAACAAATCAAAGTGTTTGATAATCGTTCATATGAATTGCGTTGATCGTGTGCATGTAAATTATAAAAATTTAATAAAATATCGAAGGGGAACACAAGTTATGTTCATACTTTTAAGTATTATTATCAGTTAATTCAGTCTAATATTAAAATTAATAATATAAAATTAAAACTGCTAAATATAGATTTCGGAATATTATATCTTAGTAAAATTGAGTCAACAATGTGGATACAAAAACAAAGCAGATAAACAATACCAATTAGTAGTTATTATATTTAATATTATGCTGATTAGCGAATAGATTTATTATCAGGCATCGACTTTTATTCAATTATTCTTTACACCTAGTATATATTATGTAAGACAAATACATTTGATAACATTAATTTAAATATATATATATGATAAAAATGAGCAGCATCAAGGCCGCAGCTGGTCATAGAACTCAAAGCTAACAATATAAAATTTACTCTGAAGTACTTAAGCTTAAAGGCCTAACATTTTGTTGTATACTTTAAATTACCTTCGGTAAAGGTTCGGGAGGTGCTAGATGAATTCCGCCAATCTGGACGACTTCCGGCGTCAGTGGCCGTGCCGATTCGGTGATGAAATACGAGTTGATGAAAATCACCGACGGTTTGATCAGGTCCACGGTGTCGTATGGTCGCAAATGGGCCCACCGTTGCTGCCACTCAGTATACCACATAAGTATCGAACAATGTACCGTCACCACCACGTTACCTAAACGTTCCGCAAATGTTTTGGGAGTGCCGTGACGGGACATGATATGCCCTACAGTCGCCGGATTTATGATGTGGCCGGTCAACGAACGTTCCAAGTACGTGACGACCGGAAACGGAACAACATATATCATGGGCACGCAGAGCACGGTAGCCACGTACGCCACGCACTCGGATACCAATGGCTCGGTGACGACCAAGTCGAATTCTCGAGTCCCAGACCTCTCCAAGATGTCTACCATCCGTCGATGTCCATAGATCATATCGCAATTCAGTCGGGTATGTTTAAGCATATGTGGCATTCCATTATGCATGGAACCGAAGTTTTTTATCATATAATTCGCGTCTATGCCAAGCACCGGTTTAATTTGCTCGGATATATCCACTTCTGTATAACCATCTCTGTCGCCGTCTATGAACGGCGTAAATACGGTCACGTTATGACCGCGGTCAGTAAACGCCCTCAATACCGCCCTCATCACGTTCCAGTGACTCTTGCCAGGAAGTGGCTGGATGGCCAAAATGTTCGCTGCACCGACCGACGACCAATGGAAGGTTGCGAAACACGCACAAAATGCAACCAATATTGTCTCGTAACTGGACATATTTTATTTTCGTATTTTGGTTTATTTTGAGACTGTAATACAATATATAGACACAAATATAGCAACAACATTATTATTATTATCAACAAAGGTGATTAAGTTTATGAAAAAAAAAAATTAACTCAGATTGTGTTATGTTAGAAGTTAAAATAAATAAATAATAAATTTAACTCGTAAAATTTAAAATTATAATGGAAAAAATATCAACTTAACTCTTTCAATCAATATCAGATCACATATAACACATTTTATGTCCAACTACAAATAATATTATTTTATCAAGGAACATAACTAAAATTATAATATTATTACTATTATTATAATATTAGATAATTTTTTACTGACAACCATATTTATTTTAATATAATATTATTTATAATACTCTTAAACTAACAATTATAAAAAAACATTTTTATATCAAACTGATAGATAACTTTTTAAACTATTAAAAAAAGTTTATCTATTTCGACAATCAATTTAACTAATTAAGAATTAATAAAAAAATATTTTTTAACAAAAAGAAAATTACTTTTATTCTTTTTATTATTATTATAAGTATTATTCAAGACATAAACTCTACTAAAATATATTTTACCTTAAATTACAATACTTAAAGATGTATTTCTCATCAAAGATTACTCGTTCTACTTACACGTGTAATATTAAAGATTCATTAATTTAATAAAATATCTATAATAATACTAAGACGGAAACCAATATACATAAATTTATAATAACATATTTATTGTTAATACAACTATAATACAAACTTTACTTTTATGATAATACTAATTGTGTCTATATTAAAATCGATTGACCTATATAATCATAATATTTCACAGCGTGTTCAAATATTAGTTAAGAAATGATAGTTTTTCTATTGAACATTTCTAAATTCTGAATGAATTTATTTTTATTTTTATTTTTTTTTTAATCAATAGCTAATGTGTTATTATATAAATCATTAATATTTATTGTGTATTAAGTATACAAATAAAATACTTATAAAACATTAACAAAATAATTTAATATTCTTTTACTTTACTTTAAATATAATTCAATAAAGTTGAATAATCTTAAAATTACAGACATTTAAATTTTAATAAAATATTACCTAGATAATCACACAACCCTATTTAAATATGCAATATATATATATATATATATATATATATATATATATATGTACGTAAGTACATTGTTGATAAATAATTGTCATTTATTGACTTAAGAACTAATATAAGTTTGAATAATAATAATTATTTTTACGATTGACCTTTTTATAATTTCTTATTTATTTAGATTTATAATAGTTAATTATAGGGCAATATAATATATTATACTTATATTTTACTATACTTCCATATATGTCATAATAAATCAATTCAAAAATTAGTCCTTCTTAATAAAATTATTTGCTAAAATATAATTATTACTTTATTAATTGGTTAAGAGATTGTCACAACCATACATTTATATATTAATATTATAGAAGAATATTGAAAAATTATCATATTTTAAAATATAAGATCATTTAACACGATTATTCTACTTACCAACCATCCAACACGTGCATCTGATGAAAAAGAAGTTCATATAGATTAATTTATAAAACCGTAATTGCTTAAACGATTATTTTATTTTTCACTTATAATTCTTAATTTATATTCATTTTACTAGGTACACCTAGTATTTTCAATGTCATGAAAAAATTTATTGAAGATAAGACCACTTAATTGTCACATAATTATCTATTATTTTTTATACAAAATTCAATGTTTAATATTTATGAATTAATCCACCATAAATTATATAACTATATACTCGTATTTATACTTTTTACTATAGAAATATGTATCTATAGCTATAATTTTTATACAATTCAATCAAACTACTTATAATAATCACAAATAGTATTTATTTTTTTTTTTTTTAACTGATAAAAGATATAACCAAACTTTAATAAGTTTAATTCAAAACAAGTACAAACATAATAGATATTTCTTGGTTTGTTATAAAACAATCAATCAAATTACTCAAGAGCTACAAGTCTATAATACAGGCGAATAATAATTTTTCAATACAGGCAAAATAGCCCGACCTACAATCACTGCACCTTTGATTTTTTTATTTTTTATTTTAACTTTTTTTCTCTGATTTAAAAACAGACTTATTTTGAAAAAAAAAATATACTCAAACATAAAAAAAAAAAATTTCAACTTTAACTTGATCATTTCTTAGTAGTTTATGTTTTAATACTCTAACCTACCAAGATGTGTGAGTGAATTACATTTTATAATCATGATCAGTAGGACTAGGTAGTTGATGCATATTGCATTTTTTTTTTTTGGAACTTACTAGACCAGTGGTTCTCAACCAGTGTGCCGCAAAATTGTCTATATGTGCCACGAGAAATGTTGTTAAATATTGAAAACAGTGTTTTATTTCGGGACATTTATTTTTTAAGTGCGTGAGTGTGCCGTGAACTAAAAAAGGTTGAGAACCATTGTACTAGACGATGCTCTCCTAGTCATAAATGTATTCCATAAACATGTGAATTTAAATAATTAATCTTTATTTTGCAGTTTTTGGTTTTTTTTTTGTTTTTTATTTTTTAAGTCATTTTTTGTTATTGTTAAATCCTATTTTCCTTTTTAGTTCAACGTATTTTAATTATAATTAGATTTTGTCAGTTAACGTATTTACACGCATAGCTTTTGTTTTACATAAATTGTGTATAAGAACCTACATTAAATTTATATTTTATAAAATAATATTTTACACAAGTTGTTGTATGGACTTAAGAATATGATAGATATATAATATAAGTGATTAATAGGGAATTAGTTAAAAAGAATAAGATGGTGAAATTAAGATTCTGAATCATTAATTTGTTTGCATGAGATTGTATTTAAATGCTGTTTTTATTTTGTTATGGATCTTTAACTCATAACTTCATGAGATATTTTATGAGGGATGGGTACGTGAGCTTTTATTTCCTAGTGGAATAATCTACAGAGAATATTTATAGGAAAGATTTTTCACTTATCTTTTGAATATTTTGTGATCTAGAGTTATATCTTAAATGACTTAACTTGGTAGATGCTGAAGACCAAGAGAGAAAAAGAGAAAAAGGTATGTTTGAAGTGATGTGTTTGACAATCGAAAGATATAAATATAGTTATTTAAATTTATTTCACTTGTAAAACAAACATATAGGAAAATGATAAAAATATTGAAAAGACGTTGGGTAAGCGACTGAGTGTCGTATTCATTTTCGAATCAATTCTTATAGATGTTAATATGCCGCTTTTGACCGTAATTGAATTTGCAAATAGCGGCTACTCATTCATGTGTATGTGTATTATCGTGAATCATTAATATTTTAATATGTCCTAATAAATTTGTGTTTTTACAGCTATAATAATACTATTCTATTAATTTTTTAAGTCTAAGGTAGTTTAAAGAATAATAATATATTTTTTTGATAATTTATGTTTATATAACTGAACGGATATAATTCTATTTATTTTCTTAAATCTAAAATTAATAAATTAAATAAATAATAAATAATGATAAATGTGTATATCATTACATTGTATACGCCATAAGAGTTAGGTAAAGATAAAGATTCGATAAAATAAGACAATTGCTTACTAGCTATCATTTATACTTTTGACAATAAAAAGTATGCTTTAATGTACAATGTAATAATTTTGTGTAATTAATATTATTATAACTATTCTTAAAAAAAAATAATGTATTTTTGCTAATTTTAAACAAATATTTATAATTTTTTAATTCGTTTTTTGTAATTTTAAGTCATATTTGCATTTTTTATATTATTTTTTAATTGTTTAAAGGTTATCACTTATCATGTTCCAAACCCTAGTATTCAGTAACATTTTTGTGAATTCTGAGACAGTTTTTATTAAGAAAGATCAACTCTGTTATATTCTTAAATTTCTTAAATATTTTGTATATTTATTTTTCTTTTGTATACAAAGATATAATCTATAATAATCATGAATTTTACTATTATGTTTTTCGAATATTAAATTTGTAATTTTTATTTTATGTATATAAATACTGACTAATAATCGTAACTACTAATAGATAAATTATTATTTAACCATAAATTATATCAATTTTTATATTTTTTATTTATTTTTAGATATTTAAAGACAGACTATTGAATAATAATAATTTTAATAAAATTACATTTTTGTTTAGAGATACTTTGACCAAAGATATTATTTCCAAAATATTTTGACCGGTCACCCTATAATAATGGTCAACTATTTATAAGTAAACTATTATTTAATTATAAAATATATTTATTTATATATATATATGGATAAGTAAAAACAGACTATTGAATAATAATAATTATGTTATAGTTCGTTTTTGTTATACTCTGTTACATCTAATATAATAACAATTTCGTGTAATATATTTTAGAAAATAAGTAAGACAATTGTAATCTATTAAATTATATTTGAATTAAATATTAGTATATATTGCGTTCAATTTATTCAGATTTTACTTTGCGTTTATAAACAAATATCAAAAAGTATTTACAAATCATTTTTGAGACACGACAAATTATGAACAACACGATTAATGCAATGAATAAAAATGTGCTTATTACATCAACCAAGAAATATTGATACCACGTCAGATTTAAAGTTTGAGATTTTAAATGTGGCGCACCATTATGACGTATAACGTACTCAGTCCAATAAGCTACTGAATCAGCTGGTGACATAGGTCGGTCTTTGAATCGTTCAGAAGCGATTTTAGCGTTTTTCCGATACCTGTATAAATTTCAAGGAAAATATTTTCTGTATTTTTGTTTTAGAAAAACATAATAATTACTTCTTACGTTTCATTGTTGACAATTTCTAAAACAGCCTTTAAAAATGTATCTTTATTTACAGAATTTATGTCCATAGAAATCGCCATTCCGGCGTTAACAAGGTTGTCAATGTTTCTCGGTTGGTCGTAGAAAAACGGAAATCCCAGTACAGGCACACCAGCGTCCACAGTTTCGTACATTCCAGATATGCCTCCATGACTGATAAACAGTTTCACATTTGGATGCACTATTTAAAAAAGTAGAATAAATTTGATAAAATATTATATATATTTTTTCGTAAGAAACTATAGAATCTATGACATTATTTAAATATCTCGGCACGTACAAAGTATATCACGTTGTGGAAACCATTTCTGTGTCATCACATTCTTCGATATGTTTTTCATATCACCTTCGTACTTCCACAACACCTTCTGTGGAATTTGGGAGAAGGATTCTCGAAAAACGTTTAGAACATTTTCTGGTAACGATGACATTAAAATCATCGAGCCTAAGGTGAAGAAAATCACACCATGAGGAGCGTCGTCAATAAATTCTAAAATATCCTGTAATGCAATTGCATAGAAGTAAATATATTAATTCAACAATTATTAAGTTGACTCAACGTGTGGAAAATCGCTTTTAAGTTTGAGGTATAAAATTGTATAAACGCTTAATATTTCATTTTAAAAGTAAATAGGTATATTTTAATAATATTAATCTATTAGAATGATCTACTGAATGTTAAACTCGACTCCTACTTTACAAAAGTACAATTACTTACTCAGTTACTCTACCCTTTCCATTTCTTTTTTGATTAGAATGCATCAAAAAAAAAAAAAACAATGTTATAATTAAATTTACTTATTTATAGCATATAAATTGTAGATCATTAATAAAAGTATACGCCATAAATCCAGCATTTATAACTTTTTTAATTTTCTGTTTTTAATGTACTCAGTATAAAACATGTGGGTTATGTTGTGCAGTGTATTCTTAATTCGCGCCTCAAATGGTTAATATCTAAACAAATTATAACTTGCAAATCAATTGTTTATTGTACCTTCGGTATCAATCTTGGCGGGGCCAAATGTATGCCACCGATTTGTACGACATCTGGCGACAGCGGACTAGAAGGTTTGGTGATCAAGTGCGTATTGGTAAAAGTTAACGACGGTTTGACCAGATCCACAGCGTCGAAAGATTGCGGTTCGATTTGCCGATGCCATCGTTCTTCCCGCCATAACAACCACAAACTGTAAATTAAATGCAGCGAATTGGCAAAACGGTCAGCGAAAGTTTTAGGAACACTGCGCCAGAACAAGAAGCTGGAAGTAGTTGTGGGATTTTGAAAGTGTTCAAAGAAAGAACGTTTTGAGTGGAGGACGACCGATGACGATATGACGTTTATGGCTGGAATTTGGAGGACGGTGGCCACGTATGACACATAATCCAAGGAGACTGTCCCAGCTACTACCACGTCGAACACCTGTGACTTGCAGTCAAAAATTTTTTGCATTTGCTGGTGTTTAAACACAGTTCTGCAACCGGCCCGGGTCATGTTCACAATAAGTTTAACTACTGTCGACATAGATTGACTATCCATAATCAGCGACGCGTTTAATCCAATTCTCGTCTCCAAGTCTCCAGAAACGTCTATTTCAGTATAACCGTCTCGGTCGCCATCCGGAAATGGTGTAAACACGGTTACGGTGTGGCCATGATCAGTCAACGCCTGTAGCACGGCCCGCAGCACATTCCATTGGCTCTTTGCTGCGATCGGCTGTACTGCTAGGATATTAGCAGCACCAACCGGCGTCCACTTCAAGAACAGCGCTAAACAGGCACAAAACGCGATCAGTTGGGCCCCGAAATTCGAACTCTTGATCTTCATTGCTGGATCTTAAGTTCTGTTAAACGAGTAGCATTCGGATCAATGTGTAGATCTGCACCAAACATATTAACGTACTTGAATTACAATTACAATTACAATTTAAGTTTTTTTTTTTTTCAGAAATCGATTAAATTAATTATTTTGATAATCTATTGTCTACTTACATTAAAAAAAATTATAAAACTATAATTCTTAAATTCTCATTTAACACATTGGTTCATTTGAACATATTTATATTACACTGCATAGGTATGTAAAATAAATAATTAATGGATTAATGTTTTAAATATTATCGCGTTATCTAATATTATGACTATTTAAATATCATAAGATGTAATTTATGTAACTTTACTTATATTTTTAAGTGTACACATACTTGACGCATTGCAAAAGTATTAAATGTAAAAAAAAAATAATAGTAAACGTAGTATTCAACACTTAAGTTGTATATGGGCACGGATCGTTTTATTACACCATATCTAAGGTTTAGATAATAAAGGTATAACTAGTTTGCACAACTAGTTTTTTACAAATCGTTTTAGCACATTTCTATCCCCACATTAATATAGGCTTAAGACTATCAGTTTAGAACAGATGTAATTAAAATGTGTATGTAAGTTTGTTTTATTATGTAAATTTTGAATAGTGACATTTTCGTCTGTTCTTCTTAAGAAAAGCTAAGCAATCAATTGATTTATTTTTAAATTCATTCTAAATATTTTCGAATTTTACCTCTGTATTAATTGTTTTTTTTTTTTATTTTAATTTTATAATTTTATTGATTATTGAATAAATCACTACGAATTCCGTGAGATCAATGTGTAGATTTGCATCATACATATGTATGTACGTATGTGGATTAAAATTTAAGTTTTTTATTAATTAATTTATTTTTTATTTATTATATTTGTATTTTATGCAAAAATTCACTTTAATCAATATTGTTGATTAATTATGGTCTATTTTTACACTCACATTTAAAATTATTTTAAAACAATAATTCATACAATCTCAATCAAACTTTACGTTTATTTAAGATTTCGATCAAGAAATATGTGCAATTTAAAATGATATTATTTTTTTGAACAATTTAAATATTGACCGTTATCATATTCACGGCATATCTTCATTGTTGTAATTAGAATATTTACTTACCTTGGCCTTTAAAACGTTTAAGTATAATAATTTATCGATTTGTTTTTTATTTAATTTTTTTTATTTTTTTATTTTGAATTATTAATGAAATATTAAATATTATTGGTAAGAATGAATCAACACAAACCAAAAAAACTCACTTTAACTACAATTTGATGAAATAAATATTTAGTACTTAAAACACTTATATTAATAAAACTGGGAATACTTCAATTTCTATGACATGATATCATTCAGTTTATTAAAGTAATATCAGTGGCGGTTCTGGCATAAAATGTTTGAGGAGGCAACAATTTTGCTTCCTATTGATTATACAATTATCAATTAATAATAATAATTTTATAAAATTATCAATTGCTATTGATGATAAATTATTTAGTGATAACGTACAATAATCCGTGGTAGGGATTAATTTTTACATCATAAACAATCTAAAGATTAATTAGTTGTACATGACGCCAATTGACGCGGCTCCGGCGGTTGTCGTGGTTTTGATCCGCGGAAAGCCGGTCGTGTGATTGTGAATGCTCGCACCGATGTGGAGCCACACAAACAGATCGGTTGAACAGATTCGGCAACGAAGTTCTAAACCTTAGGCGGTTGGACGTAGACTCGGTGATTCCAACGAAGTCAAGTCCATGTGGAGCCGTAGTAGAGTTCTTTGGACAACATTCGGAACATCTCATGTTGTTAGACGTGCGATCGACCTACGATGCCCGCGATTGCTCGCGGCCGAAACCGGAAGCTCGTCCGGCACAACTTATCTTTCCGTCCCGCCTTGGCCTTTATGGCATTGGTAGGGGAGTTGACTATATTGCGTCTTTACCCGTGGTGGTGGTGATAACGGTGTAGACCAGTCGCTTCGGTGCCTGTACTTTGTACTAGCAACCGTTGCGTACCGTGTCATATAGTGTACACATGTTTAATACCTAAATTCTATTAAATTTGTTCCCAAAGAATGATTAGTAGTGAATCGCGAGGCGCAGTGACGTTTTCCAACGGAGGCAACGACTATGTGCAGTCTCCTTAGAGAATTGCACATGCGCTAATTGCATATTTTATGTGGGTCTGTGTGTGTAAATTTATGTACACATGTAACGTATCGATAACGGCAGCGGCGGTTGCCTCCTGAGAAAGTGGGAAGCCGCCGTTGACTCGCCGGGATGTATGGAGAGCAATCCGTAGCCTAATATATTGTACGTAGTAATTTACATCATATCAATTATCAGTATATTATTAGTATATTCTATAAACAATATTAATAATATAGAACATAGGTATTCCCTTGTCACGCACGGTCACTGGGCAGTCTTTTACATATAGGCACCACGGTCTTATTTAAAAAGTAAAGACTAAGACTGGGCATGGACTCTCCATAATTCCTTCATTACAAAATTTAAATATATATTTTATTAACTTCCCTTTTATAATAGTGTATATATTTAAAAATATAAGAAAACAATATTTTATAATTTAAATAATATTAACCATATATGTCTCTTATTTTCAAGGGAGGCACAGCCTCCTTTGCCTCCCTAGGAAAACCACTACTGGACTAATATGTTAATATGTCTAACTATATCCTCTATTAATAAAGCTCTATAAACGTACTTACAAGAAATAATTAATGGCTTCATGTTTTAAATGTTTCTCGTCATCTCAAATCATGAATATTTAAATACCATAAAATGTAACTATTCTTATACCTTTAAGTGTACCTATTCATTTACAATGTATTGCAGAAAGTGTTTTCGCACATTGACTTTTTTATGATTTGTTTAAGCACATTTCCCTTCCCACTTTAATACAGGCTTATCTATTTGTCACAAACGTGATTAAAAATATGGACGTGTATTTATTGTAAATATATAATATGTATGTAAATATTTACTACACTACTTTTGAATAGTGATATTTAAATCCGATTTCCTTCATAAAAGTTAAACAATCAATAATTGATTTATTTTTATATTTATTCCAAATATTTTTCTATTTTACCAAATTATTAATTATTTTTTATTTTTTTTATTAAGATTTTAAGTTAATGATTCTATTGTTTATAAAATTATCAACTAAATTAGTTTCACTTAAAATTCAAGATGAGCAATGTAAAACTGACTGTCAAAATGTTTGTAAAAACTGTCTGATCCATTAATAGTCTTAAGATTATTATAGGCTCAATTTTTCAAAATTAAATCGATTTATAAAAGTAATACTAGAACTTGTATAAGGTACAACCTACAAAAGATCATACAATTTATCCGAAACTTCTTCAGGAGGGAAATAACTTAATCCAAAAAAAATATTTCATCTGTTTGTCAATTTCAAAATTATTGTTTAAGTACATTTTTTGTTGTTTAATGTGTCTAAACCAGTTTTGTCCTATATAAATATTACAACATGCAATTTTACAGTTAGGAAAAATTTGTAATTTAACATTATATACAACTTTTCAGTCAGCATAAAAATGTATTAAATTTATTATACTACCAGTAATTTTAAAAGATATATTTTGTTACTTTTTCCACATATAAGTGTCACATATCAGTTTTATTACTTAAAAAACGAAACATCACAAGAACATAAAAATTGTTTATACATATATGCATGAGTAAGATAAAGTTCAACAAAATATTTTGGAGTGTATTAAAATTTTCAACCCCCAAAAACGTGTTCGGCATCATGTAACAACCTTAATTTTTTTTTAATATGTAAATATAGATTGATTTTCATCATCACTAATAAAACAAAAATTATCATCTTTGTAAATAAAATTTTTCTGAACATCGATTAATTATTTTTTGCATATTCTAAAGGTTTCGGTAGGTTGGAAAGGATTTTTCTCCAGTTTCATATATGGATGTTTCCGATGTTTGAATTCATTTCATTTCACTATATTGAAAAATTTCAGAAAAATCACTTATCAGTACTTTGCAATTCCAAGTATATTAGGTTATTTGTTTTAATGTGAAAATGTTATTCAGCTTTACGTTTCAAATTATTTCTTACAATTTTCTAATAATTTTTTTGTCATAGTATTTGCAATGGTTATGCGCGTTTTTAATTTTTTTAATTTAATTTTATTTATTTACTATAACAATTGTGGAACATTTTTATTTGTACACCTCAAATTTGTATCACCAGATTTTTAATGTATGATATTCAGTCAATTAATAAATATCTACATTTATACACTTGTTACCTCGACGCGTTTCAAAAACATTACTAACATTGATATCCCCATAATTAATAGTACTTATAGTGCCGCTTTCTGGCAAACAATTATTAAACGTTACTTAATTACTATCAGTCTTACACCCACTGAAAAAGTTGAACGGTATTTAAAATTTATAAATTCATACTAAAAAACGTGTAATAAAATAAAAGTCCAATAGTGACATGCATAAGTGGTTTAAACTATTGGTTAAAAACACAGTACGAACAGATAAAATACTTTTTGTATTTTTGACTAAGATATTGTGTATTTAATCATCAATTTTACAGTTCTGAGTCTAAATTATTGGATACGATTAAATTTACTTGAATAAAATAATAAAATATGGTGTATGCGTTTAAAGTACATGTCAAATATTACATCTGAAGTAGTAGCAGAAGGTGCATTTGAATAATTAATAACAACTCCAAAACGGATTTTTGAAACAAATCATGAATTGAAAATGTAATTAATTAACAATATTTAAGTTGGATGTAAATTTATAGAATACATTTTTTTAGAGGTGGGTGGAAAGAAACAACATTTTCGACGTGCGGCAAAAGTATTAAGAATTCTATTGTTGGTATTGTCGGATGTGGCAATATATATTATTTACTAAGAAGCTTAACACATTTGAAATTTCTCAATTGCTTTATGCTAGTAGAAATGAAAAACCTGATAGTAAAATTAAATTTAGTCATGCATATATAGTATAATAAGTAAAACTTTAAATTCATAATCAATTAAGCAAAAATCTTGATGGAAAATTAGTCACAATCGAAGAGTTTGTTAAACAGAGTAATTTCATAATAATTTATGTTGAACTAAATGAGGATATAAAGTATATCAAAAATCGAAAACGCATTGCCAAAATGAAGTCTCACGCCGTAAAAATCGGTCGTGAAGGTTTAACTAATTTAAACATTCACATTAATGCTCGAAACAGTGGCATGACTAGTCAATGTTTTTCGAGCCAAGGCTCCGTTGAGTTTTGGAGGTGTTGGTGGTTATAGTAGATTTGTAAAATATATTGCTTCTAAATTATGGAATGGAAAATGTTAGCATATAAATATAATACGAGTATAAGCACTATTCTACAACATCTGCTGTATGTAAAAAATCGATATCGATGTTAAAATTAATGAAAACTCGACATAGATTCACTAATATGGTGTAAAATAGACATAAAAAACTCGTGTTATTATTATGTGAAAAGATATAGTTTTAAATCCAGAAGAAAATTTGAACGAATATGAATTTACATAATCAGTGCTTTAAAAAGAATTGTTATTTATGTAATTATATAACTTTACTTAGTACAAAATTTTTTATTAGTATACATTCATAAAATTCTTTGGTTTATTAATATCATATACCTAATTATATTTTCAATAATGTGTACTTTATGTATTATGTTTAAATTATACACACATGATGTTATAAGCTAAAAGCATATAGGTATATTTATGTTTTTTTTACGCGAAACATTTTAAAGATGCTTTTGTTCAAATATTTAATTAAAAATTTAATGTTAATATAAATAATTAATCTTTATACTTAGTAAAAACTATATAAAGACTAATTATAGTAAACTCAAAGTTTAATTGTTCTTTGACATCATACCAAAATGCCGTGAAAAATTTTAAATCTGGAGTTTATAAATATATAGTTTTTAGAAGGTATGTTTACATCGTTCAAATTTAGTTTAAACCAAAATTTATAAAACTAATATTATGGTATATTTTATTTTATAGAGGAAAACAAACTTCTAATTGATAAAAATGTATTTATTTTACTCAATCCGTATGTTTCACACATGACAGTTATTGCGAGCAAAGTAAACAATTTTGATATACGTTCTGTTGTGAATAGATAAATGGATGGGTGGGTGGAAGGATAAAATATATTTGGCTACTTTAATTAAAATTTTTCATCTACGCCACCGACTCAAAATTAGTTCAATTTTATCATTGTTTTGAATTTTAAGAAGTTGTAGACCAAGATACATTTATTGAAACATTGCGAGAAAAAAGAATTGGAGGTGTGAGTCTAGTGTTTAAACCAAAATATTGAATTACACCAGCACTGTTACCACTTGATAAACATTTAATAAAAATCTCCAATTGAATAGATATTATCCTCCTACATTATCTTTAATGAATACCAATAATTTATTAAAAACATTTTGTAACATTTTACGTTATAATATAGCTCAGGAATTTCTACCATCAATGGTGATCCCCAAAAAAGTAAGACCAACTGAAATAATAGTAAATTTTCTAAAATATAAGCATATATACTTTAAGTTTATATAGTTATTTTATAATAACTAATTAATTTGAATATTATCTACAATGCCACTTATGTTGTTACTATTACCTATAATACAATAAACGTATACACCTTATATGTTTATTTTTATACTTCTTTTATATTATTTAAATTCCCACAATAATGTGCGAGTTACCTATCAGCTGTATTTCCAATTGATCGTTGGTACTATAAAATAAAACAAAACCAAAACATATTAATATATGACGAAAGCAATATAATAATTATTTTGTGGGTCATAAGATGTATCTGGGAAAACAATTAAGAGAATCTATTAAATTATATTTCAACTATATACTAGTTAATATTGCAGTCAATTTATTCAGATTTTACTTTGCGTTTATAAACAAATATCAAAAAGTGTTTACAAATCATTTTTGAGACACGATACAATATGAACAACACGATAAATGCAATGAATAAAAATGTGCTTATTACATCAACCAAAAAATACTGATACCATGTCAGATTTAAAGCTTGAGATTTCAAATGTGGAGCACCATTATGACGTAAAACGTACTCAGTCCAATAAACAACAGAATCAGCTGGTGACATAGGTCGGTCTTTGAACCGTTCAGAAGCGATTTTAGCGTTTTTCCGATACCTGTATAAATTTCAAGCAAAATATTTTCTGTATTTTTGTTTTAGAAAAACATAATAGTTTCTACTTACTTTTCATCGTTGACAATTTCTAAAACAGCCTTTAAAAACGTATCTTTATTTACAGAATCTATGTCCATAGAAATCGCCATTCCGGCGTTGACAAGGTTGTCAATGTTTCTCGGTTGGTCGTAGAAAAACGGAAATCCCAGTACAGGCACACCAGCGTCCACAGTTTCGTACACTCCGGATATGCCTCCATGACTGATAAACAGTTTCACATTTGGATGCACTATTTAAAAAAAGTAGAATAAATTGGATAAAATATTATATATATATTTTCGTAAGAAACTATAGAATCTATGACATTATTTAAATATCTCGGCACGTACAAAGTATTTCACGTTGTGGAAACCACTTCCGTGTCATCACATTCTTCGATATGTTTTTCATATCACCTTCGTATTTCCACAACACCTTCTGTGGAATTTGAGAGAAGGATTCTCGAAACACGTTTAGAACATTTTCTGGTAACGATGACATTGAAATCACCGTACCAAAGGTGAAGTAAATCACACCATGAGGAGCGTCGTCAATAAATTCTAAAATATCCTGTAAACGAGAATGCAATTGCATAGAAGTAAATATATTAATTCAACAATTATTTAGTTGAGTCAACGTGTGGAAAATCGCTTTTAAGTTTGAGGTATAAAATTGTATAAACGCTTAATATTTCATTTTAAAAGTAAGTAGTTATATTTTAATAATATTAATCTATTAGAGTGATCTACTCAATTATGACTTACATTCGACTTCTACTGTATAGCAGTATGGTTACTAGTATGGTTGCCCCTTTTCCTTTTTTGATGAAAGTTTATCAAAAATAAAAGTTATTATTTTAATCACTTATGTAGAGCATATAAATTGTGTATAATTAATAAAAGTATAATAATAAAATGAAAATTAATTGAACATATGCTATCATTCCGACACTTATAATATTTTTAATTTTCTATTTTTTATGTACTCTCCAGATATCTCCGGATAATGAGTATCACTAACTTTTTTGTGGAGGCTGTAAGTTTTTACCGATGTTGATTAGATTTTAACCAGGAAGTGAAAAGATAGAGGAGATACACCAAAGTTCGTCAATGATATTGTGATTAATTTAATTAATTTTTATTTTTGAAATAACATGAGAAAAAAGAGTATAACAACAGTGTAAGCTATGGGGTGAGCGACTGAGCGCCGTTGTATGTGTGGTGTATACTTAAATAGACGATGATTGTGACCACAATCATCAATAATCAATAATCACAATAATTAAGAAAAATACGGGGACTTTTTTTACTTTTAATCTTCCAAAATACCAACCACATAAAATTTTCACCAAAAACACCCTCAAAATTAAAAATTGAAGCAATTTTGCTGTTTCAAAATTTGATGACAGAAAAAAAATACACACTTGATTTTAAATTCGATACATTTATAGCTCCACTCAGAGTATAAAAATCAAAATGCAAGTCCATTAGCATAAAGAAGGATTAAAGTTTAACAAACTTATGACATATTCTTAAATTATACTTTACCAGGTTATTTATATATTGTGTATCATTATATAATAAAAATATGTAAAAATATTTTACACAAATGAAATAAATTTTCTATGTGTACTTATTATGATTAAATATAATAGATCAACCTACCAAATTGTTTGATATTTTATAGTCTCCATTATGCACATATAGATTTTAACTATTAGAGGATATGAATTATAATCTATTAGTATTTAACATATTTATTACCTTCGGTATTGATCCTGGCGGGTTCAGGTGTATGCCACCAATTTGCACAACGTTTGGCGGCAACGGTCTGGAAGGTTCGGTAATGAAATGCGTGTTGGTGAAAATCAGCGATGGTTTTACCAGTTGTACGGTGTCGAATGGTTGTGGGTTGGATTTTCGGAGCCTCTGTTCTTCTCGCCATAACCACCATGAACCGTAAACCGTTTGTAAAGCGTTGACAAAGCGGTCAAAAAACGTTTTAGGAACTCCGTGCTGGAACAGTAAGTTAGAGACAGCTGCTGGGTTGGGGACGTGCCCGAAGAACATACGCTCCGAGTACGTGACAATAGGTGGTGGGACAACGTATATGGAAGGTACACGTAAAATGGTAGCCGCGTACGATACGTAATCCAACTCAATTGCCTCGGCGACCACCGCGTCGAATAATCGCAACTGGTGGTGATCCAGGATTTCTCGCATCCTTGGGTGGTTGAATACAATACCGCAGTTGGTACGACCCGAACTTGCGATGTGAGTCATAATCGCCCTTGTGGACCGATAACTCGTCACCTGTGATTCGTTTAACCCGATCCTCGCACTCATGTTACCGGAAACATCCACTTCCGTGTAACCGTCCCGGTCACCATCCACGATTGGTGTGAACACGGTCACGGTATGGCCGCGGTCCGTCAGCGCTCTTAGAACGCCCCGCATTACGTGCCAGTGGCTGTTACCGTGGATCGTATGCACCGCAAGTATGTTTGCCGCTCTGACCGACTTCCACTGGTGTTGCGACGGTTGCAGTACTTGACATACACAAAACGCAATCAATATGTCTGTGAAACGTAAAGTCATTGTTTGCAACAGAGCGCTCACAAACCCTATACGACGAACGATAACCCGGAATTGTTCCTAAACTTTACCAAAAATCCAGTTCTGCTCTTCAAGCGGACTGCTGCTATTATAAAAATGAAATTGTTTATTCGTATATTATTTTTCTTTTTTTTTTGGTTTCTGAAGTTGTCCTATGCAGGCTATACATCATAATATGGTATAGATACACTAAAAAAAAATTGATGATACACATACCTATATATACTATTTTTATTATAAAATAAAATATATGACCTCACTATAATACTATAAAACTACAGTATTGACTACGGCAAGCAAATTTATTGTGAATTAATATATTTTTTTAATAATTATATATTTATTTTATGCGTATACTAATAGAAATCATATCATAATATAATACACTCTCGTTTTCCCCCTAAGAAATAATGTTAAAAGTTAGGTAACTAACTTTTTGTAACACTAAATTACAAATAGTTATAAGAACCTCTAATATACATACTTATATTTAACGATAATAACATTATAAGTAGGTGTCGTGCATTAAACTATATCAAAGATAATATACATAGACCGTTTTATGCCAGTAGGAACTTATATTAATTACCTACAAATTATAATAGAATTAGGTATCTTATTTCTCAATCCGCATGAGTAAATACACGTCTTGTTCAATGTAAAAAATAAAAAAACATTTATAAAAAATAAAACAATGGTTTACTTAAAAATACACATTTTAATACTATGCATATAATATATAAATACTTATTATACATAGAAATACTACAGCTGACTACACAGGTGAGTGCTGTGTATCCTATACCCTAGCTTGTCAAAATACCCGTGACTGTATGATTTTTCGCAAGGTTATACTGTAACCATGGACATGCTTAGGGGAGGATAATATTTCCTAATTTTATAGTTTTTTTTTATATTCGTGTACACTGTACAATTGATTTATTGATTAGGTATAATTTTCACCTTATCAGTCTGTATTATTTAATATTGGTGATAATAACTATTATTATAGGTACTAAGATCGTGGTAATTATTTAGATCATATACAATGGATAAAGCCAAAGCCTATAGATTAGGTACACATAATGTCAATGATGTACATGTTAGCGACGAGTCGCCAGTTGCTGTGCATGTTCTAGTAATTAGTCGCATATTTATCTCGACCTATTTATTTATATTTCATAGTTAATATTTGACTTTAATACAGATTTTAACTCGTTATAAATTCAATAAATTTAAGTTTTGATAAATTTATTAAGGTATTTATTATTAATTTCTACTATTAAGTATTTAAAATAAATTGTCAATAGGTCCACATAAATTTTAAAAGTAGTTTAATAATTAAATTGGTGTGTTTATTGTTAATAAGAAGTGTCTTAAGCACACAGCCTAGTATTCAACTATATTCTTCAAATTTTAATATGGTGTGCCTAGGTCAGACAGCTATCGTTAGTCCAAGATATTTAACCGTAGGAGATGAAAGAACTTAGACATCATAAAGAGTTACAGCCAAAAATTATGCTTGTTTAAGGGTACCTAAAGGTTATATAAACTGATTTGGCTTGATATATTTATGAATTACGAGTGTAAAGAGATGCTTTTATTTTATTTAGAGAATTCAAACAAAATACACATGAATTAGTACTCTTTTTTTAGTGTCACTATCCCAAAAATAATTTTATAACCCCCCCCCCCCCGTTAAAATAACTAACATCAATCCAAAGTTGTTGTTATTAAGTTGAAAAATTGGAATTCGTAGCTTAAAAACAAATTATCATTTACATATTTACATAATATTAACACAAAATCAAAAATTGGAATTAAATATTTAAAAAGTTAATTTATTTTAACTTTTTAACTTAACTAGTTAGATTATTTTCTAATCAACTTATGAACTTAAAGAGTTTAATTGAAAGCTAAAATAACTTAGCTTTTTGCTGTTGATATAAAAAATGTTTTTAATGAAATCGTGTTTTATAAATTGTATTGTTTTAAATGTTTTAATATTATACGACCTTCAATTGCTATATAATATAAAAATAATAATATTTGTTAAATTATTAATTTGAGATTTGTATAGTTTAAATTAATAAGTAGTCTATCATATAATGTAAAAGGATATTTACACTGTACAATGTACATTATGATAAAAGTTCAGAAAAATTGTTTTTTATAATCAAAAAAATTATAAAGACATAGCCATTCATGTGATTTACATACTAATTAAAAAAAAATTAATTAACTGTTTTTAAACTAAGTTAATATTTTTTTCTATATTAAATTTTAATTTATCGAATTAAATTTATAATTTGTTAACGGTTAACTTAAAATAACTTATCGATCTTGTGTTCTTTTAGTTTAATTTAACTGAAGTTAATTTTTATCATTAACTCGCCCACTTTTTCACAGAATTATTCAGTGATATTATGTTCATATTTATCATATTTTTGGGGAAAATGTGCGACTTGTCGCTTGCGCATGCACAGTAAAGGCTATATAACTGACGACTTTTCGCTAACATATACATTAAAATATTAACCCGTGGTTCCATCCATTGTATATGATCGAAGAGCAACTACCTATTAACTAGCATCTACAATTACAAAATATAACTTTCAAGTTATCAATTTATCATTTCATATCATATCATATCACAGATTATTTTAATTGATTATAATATTATATTAAAAAAAAGTTGACCCCCCCCCCCCCTTGACCCCCCTTCCATTCAAAATTCCTGAGCACGTCTCTAACTGTAATACATGAAATTCTTAGTTCAAATATTTAAATAGTTTGAAAACATTTAAGTTCACAATGAAGATCACTGTTACTGATTAAATATTAGTAAAGATAATACACTTTTGTTTTACACTTACCTTTAAAATATTTTCAGAGCAATAAAACATACGCTGTTGTTTAATAATTTATTTTTAAATTTAAAATATGAGATATAAAATTTAATAAAATAAAAAATGAACGCGTAAAATCTTCACTTCAAATACAATTCAATATAATTTATTTAATTTAGGTACTTAACACTTACATATTAACACCTACGAAATATAAATCATTCAGTTAGGTATAAAAACTAACATATTACTTTATTTAAAACTACACAACGTTGCGTGTCTAAGTAACTTATAAATAAGTTTTATTAAATATATCACAGTTTTCCAAAAAATGATTATTTTTAATAAATAATAAAAATCAATTTATTTGTAAGTTATAACTTGTATTTATGTTATATGTAATACGTACATATTGTATTACAATTAAATAAAACAAAAAACATTTTATCTTATCAATAGGTTAAAGACTGAAAGTATAATTTACTACAACTACATAGTACAAAATAATAAATAATACCAACTATATAAATATAAAACAAATAAAGAGATAATTAAAAAAAAAAATGTTCATTTAATTTGTTGTTTAGTTTGTAAAAATAAAATGTTTAAATATCATATAATTAACAGTCATGTTTTAATATATTTGAGTATTGCAGGGATAACGTAAGTACTTAATAACAAAGTATTCAAACCAGGGCTTGCAAACGTTATAATAACGTTATATTTGACAAAAAAAGATTGAGATTTGTAACGTAATTATAACGGAAAATGATAAACATAAATAGTTACACAACACAAAACAAAACATAACAATTAACAAAATATCATAAAACAAAACTTAACGCAAAGCGTTATATATAGTATATCATTAAATGAATAAATAAATTTCCAATTATTTAATAGTTACCTATAATTTATAAGATATATTAAAAATTTTAATTCAAGAATAACGATAAACTCAAAATTTTTATAACGTTTCAATTGTAAATAACGTAAAACAATTTTTTTTCAAATGCGAGCCCTGATTCAAACAATTAAATTAATTATTTGAACAAACGTAACATTTTAGTAATCGACTTTAAATGTAATGAAAATAATATCATTGATTAATTAATATAGTATTAAGTATCATCAGTGGTGATATTACTGATATTATTGGCTATTAATAATAAGAAATAAATATTGTGAAGACGTATACCTATTTAAAGACTATGTTTGTGTATACGCTAATGTGGTCAATATTTCAATGTTTAATGTACGTATAATAATATGGACTGTATTTTTCTTCTTTCATTCATAGAGTACCAATAAGGCAACAGCCGAGTATATAGATTCCTAAACAGGACCGTATTTACACGCCTAGGCCTATGAGGCTCGGGCCTAGGGCGGCAAATTTTGTAAGAAATAAAAAAAAAATCATATAAATATTTTATGCATTTATATAACTGCGTAAATTAATATTAAAGTATAGATATTTGTGTGTAAAATATACGGGCGCATGACACTTGTAAGACGTGGCAGTTCATATAAAGATTTATGTGTCAAGTTTGATTTTTTTACGAATATATGTAGTTTTGACGAAGAAATTATTTCTGAAAAAACTAGAACACTAATAGAACAATATCCTAATGATATTGAAGAATCATTTAGAAATGAATGTCTTCATTTGCGTGATCATCTTTTTTTTAAATCTGACAAAAAAAGAAACGCCCAAGAACTTTGTAAGATGTTGTATACAAATGATATAATAGATATTTACCCAAACGTCACAACAGCGTTACGTATATATTTGTACACGTTTGCAACAAATTGTACAGCAGAGCGGTCGTTTTCAGCATTGAAAAGAGTAAAATCGTTCAACTTTGGAGTCAGATAGATTAAACGCGACATCAATACTACAAATAAAATCTGAGATGCTTCGAAGTATAAATTATGATGATATAATTGATGATTTCACGTCTAAAAAAATTCGTCGTAAAATGTTATAGATAACATGGGTATAGGATTAAAAATTTATATTGCTAATACCAGCTAATTACAATTTATAATTATTTGTTTTGTTGATAATGACTATTGACCTAATTTCTTTAAAATTAATTAAATTAATTAGAAATAATTACAACATTTTTTTTTCTTAGAGTAGGGGCGGCATATTTAAAAGGACCTAGGGCGACACTTGTTCTAAATCCGGCCCTGTTCCTAGACCCTTACAAGGCTATAGCTGGTCTTAATCAGATCTTTCTTACTTATAGTTTATGAAGTTATATGTAAGTGTAAGTATGGTTCATTTGTAGGTACGTATTATTCATCAAACCTGTATTCATTTATGTGCAATATATCGTTTTAGAAATTAATCATACCAATTTTTTAATATAGCATATTATATTATAATATATGTTATTCATAAATGTATTATGTAATACATATAAACTATTAAGCATAGTATTAATTATTTGGGTAAGTATTTAACTACATTATATTCAAATTTTTATTTTATTGTTTTTCTTCCATAGTATAATTTAAAAATATATTTATACGTCATTTTTAAACAGACTATTGAATAATAATAATTATGTTATAGTTCGTTTTTGTTATACTCTGTTACATCTAATATAATAACAATTTCGTATAATGTATCCTAGAAAATAAGTAGGACAATTGTAATCTATTAAATTATATTTTAATTAAATATTAGTATATATTGCATTCAATTTATTCAGATTTTACTTTGCGTTTATAAATAAATATCAAAAAGTGTTTACAAATCATTTTTGAGACACGATAAATTATGAATAACACGACAAATACAATGAATAAAAATGTGCTTATTACATCAATCAAAAAATACTGATACCACGTCAGATTTAGTGCTTGAGATTTTAAATGTGGCGCGCCATTATGACGTAAAACGTACTCAGTCCAGTAAACTACTGAGTTCACAGGTGACATAGGTCGGTCTTTGAACCGTTCAGAAACTATTTTAGCATTTTTCTGATACCTATAAATACAGTTAGTAATATTTAAAAATTTTATTGAATGGCATAAATTTAATGTTCTCACCCATCATTGTTGACAATCTCCAAAACGGCGTTTAAAAATGTTTCTTCAGTAACAGATAACAGGTCCATAGAGATTGCCATACCAGCATTCACCAGATTGTCAATATTTCTTGGTTGGTCGTAGTAAATGGGAAAACCTATTACGGGCACACTTCCGTCCACAGCTTCGTACACTCCAGATATTCCCCCATGACTGATATACAGTTTCACATTGGGATGCACTATATAATAAAGTATGATTACATAACTTTTAACAATTAATCATAAATACTAAAAATTAAATGTTAAGTTTTAACTTTTAAGCTATATATACAGTCGTTATAAAAAATGATTTACAAATCTATGCACGTACAAAGTATGTCACGTTGCGGAAACCATTTCCTCGTCATTACATTCTTCGGTTTGTCTTCCATTTCTCCTTCGTATTTCCACAACACCTTTTGCTGAACTCGAGCGAGCGCCTTTTGGAACGCGTTCTGAACATTTTCCGGTAACGACGACATCGATACCACCGAACCAAACGAGAAGTAAATCACTCCATGAGGCGCATCGTTAATAAATTCCAAAATGTCCTGTCAACAAGAAAACATATTTATTTTTTTTTTAACTTCGTAAAAATCATAACACAGATTCTGTTACGTAGAATATGGGTATTATCAGAAAATCTAACCACACTGAGTGTATGTATCGTATACGAGTACTTACTAAAATACATAATATCGAATGCAACGTCTGCATAATATGTTATCACAGTGTTTCAAGTAGTAGTTATACAACATAGGTCTTCTTATTTACACAGCATTTGTTTTTAAATTTATATTAATATTTAAATCAGTAATAGTAATGACATAGCATCATACAGAAAAATGCTATTTTTCGCTTAGGTTTTTGCACGTACAAAAATGATTTAATTTAGCTGATAATTTCTTAATTTTCGACATCGTAGTTTTGAAAAAATAAAAAATGTTTCTATCAAAGATAACTATGGCAAAACATGTTATCTATGTGATAAAAGTTAATTTTGTTATTAATGTAACTTACATATTTAAAAAAAAAATTATTGAAGCAACGCGGTTTTTTACTATTAGTTATTTTAAATAGGCAATAATCTGAATAGTCATATAGAATAGATTGTAATTATTAGTTATTAAAGTAATTTTCAACATCTGATTTTCAAAAAATATAATCGCCCCATTAAACTTTTTTTTTGCATACGTCCCTGGATCTTACGGTGTTTATTTAATATTACCTTCGGTATCGGTTCTGGTGGTTTTAAATGAATACCGCCAATCTGGACGATGTCCGGCGTCACCGGCCTAGCCGGTTCGGTTATGAAGTGCGTGTTGGTGAAAATTATCGACGGCCTGACGAGGTCTACGGCGTCGTACGGTTGAGGGTCGGCAAGTCGAAGCTGTCGTTCGACGTACCACTTGAACATCGAACAGTACACCGTCAGCATCGCGTTGGCGAAACGCTGAGCGAACGTTACGGGAACGCCGTAACCGGACAGAATGTGTCCCTCGGCCGCCGGATTCGAAACGTGACCGGTCAACGGAAGTTCCAGGTACGTGATGATCGGCGGTGGAACGACGTACACCATGGGAATGCGAAGTACGGTGGCCACGTATGCCACGCACTCGGACACCAGTGGTTCGGTGATGACCAAATCAAATTCCCTCACTGCAGCGCTTTTTAAAATGCTCATCATTTGCGGATTACTGTAAATCGTATTGCAATTCGCGCGGGTGACTCTCGCCATGTTCGTCATTAGTTTCCATGTAGTGTCGAAATGTTCAAACAAGAACGTGGCGTTTACGTCGAGTTGCGGTCCCATTTGCTCGGACACATCAACCTCGGTGTAACCATCCCGGTCACCGTCTATAAACGGCGTGAACACGGTTACGGTGTGTCCGCGGTCAGTCAATACCCGGAGTACAGCCCGCATCACGTTCCAGTGGCTCTTGCCGGGGATCGTCTGCACTGCCAGGATATTCGCGGCATCAACAGGTGTTCGTTGGAGTAGCGATGACCACGTGCAAAACGCAATCAACACGGTTGCGAAGCTCGACATGGTTTTTCCTGTGATAACTGTATTCTATTATACATAGGTAATACGATGTAATATTATATTATCCATAGGTGCATACCAATGTACTAACCGGTCCAACTAAGACCCACTTAATGTCTTAATACACGCGTGATGAAGCGTGTTATCAAGAGAGAACCACTCCTGTGTTTTTTTAAGGTTGGTGATGAATGATGAATGAATGGGTGAAAGGTATGGCAATGAGTTATGACCAAAAGGTAATAAATAATAATCTTTATAATATGTTCTCAATAGTATTATTATGTAACTATTCACCATGAACGGTTTAATTAAAAATGTTCGTGTTAACATATGTATTCATCGGGTTATAGTGAGTTATAGTAGCAGTGACTATATTTTAAATTGTGGAGGAAATATTAGATTAGCCTGCGAATAGTTTTAAATTCACCACGCTATCCTTGTACGGAAGACAGATCAGGATTTGATGATAAATCAACATTGATATTTGATAGGTTTACCTGCAACCTACTTATATCTATGTCAAAATAATGACAAAATTATAAAATTTTAATATAATAAACCTGATACTAGTGTTATAATTAAATAATGCTCATTGGTTTTATGATACCTAAGATTTAATGAAATAAGTTCCAATTTGTCAACATTTAAAAATCAGTAAACAGTAATTTTTAATTCTATTTATTATAGGTAGTTGTTAAAGTTAAATAGTTTACCTACATAACCTAGTAAAAAGGTTACCTAATCAATAAAATGTTTTAGAAAACATTTTAATCAAACCACTGGTTATACTGTTAAAGGAACCTACTTGAAAAATCTTTCATTTTTAGTAATGTTTGATAATAAATTAGTAAATAGCTAAAAGTCAATGTTTAGAAACATTTGAAATGTTTTAAAAATTTAAGTAATTTTAGCTCTCAATATACACATTAAAATATTATTTCTTATATAATAAATTCCCAGTATTCCAAATTTTCTGTTCCAATAATTTTGAAATTAAATTTTTTATTCTAACTACATAATTTAATAGTTACTGTTATGTAGTAAATAATAAATTATTACAGAAATATATTCAAGTATAATTAATTTTAATATTGGCTATAATCTCAAATTGTCTTGGATTCAAATAACATGCTTTTAATAAATAGAATAAAATATATTTTAAAAGTATTTGGAATACTATTAATTATTATAGTACCTAGCTGAAATTATTATTTAAGATAAATACTGGATTCAAAATACAATTTTTTGAAGTATTAATATTCGTGTAATTTACCTTATAACATAATACACTTGATAGGTAGGTACTCGCCAATATATAAGAAATGTTAAAAGTTCAGTCATCACTATTTTGGTTAAAGATTTAATAATTTAAAATAGAAGTAACACCACAAAATACTTTATAAAATATATTTAGTCAAACCATATAGTGGCTTACACAGCACTAATATAATACTAATAATAATATTATTGTACAAGGGTCGGTAACCTACGGCCCGTGTAGCAATTTCATGCGGCCCGCGATTACAATTTATAATTGGTATGAAAATATGGAATATCACATTATGTTAGTTGATAACCTAACTTTGTTAATATATATCACATTAAATAAATATAGGCACCAAACAGTGATGAAACTTAAATAAATTAAATTAAACTTTGTTTAAAATTTAAACTGTAAAACGTAAATTAAATAAAGTGTATGACCCGTGAAAATTTTTTTATTACTTTTTGGCCATTGACACCAAAAAGATTACCAACCCCTGTTATTGTACATACAAAATTATACAGTGGAACCCGCTGAAGTCTGTATAATAATAAACAATCACGAGACCATCAAAACTTTGTAGACTACCTACCTACCTATATACATATTATGTTATTTAAAAAAAAAAAAAATGTTTTATTTTGTTTATTACTTAAATTATTTCAATAGTAGTTATACTTCATATAATTTAATTAATTTTCAAAATATTAAAACAAATTATCAATAATTCAAAATTGCCTTTTTTCATAGCGTAAGAGAGGATAGAGTGTGAGGAGTAGAAAATTATAAGGCCTATAGCAGCACTTATGCTAAATCCAGGCCTGTTCATATTGTTTATATTTTGAAATAATATTTCTAAACGTGTTGCAGGTTAGGTTTCATAACTTATTATAGGTATCTATTTACTTATATATATTTAAAAGTTCTTAATGTTTAAAATATGTAATATACATTCCAATTTTTAATTCAAATAGTAGGTCCATAACATGATATGTAGGCTAGTGATGTACCTAAATATCTTATCTTTTATCTTAATGATAGTTACAATTTAAAATAAGACTATACCAAAAAATGCTAGAAAAATAAAATAAAAAAAATAATGTTCTACATTATACAATAGAAAAATAACACTTTCTTGCACGACTTTAAACAATTGTGTTCGAGCACATAATGTAATAGGTACTATCCAATGTATACTTATGCATACAACAAGTTATTAATTCATAACTATTAAAATTTACTCTATTTCAAAATATAGTTATATGAACTAGTATTTTATTTCTTTAAAATGCCAAAAAATAAGATTACAAAGTATTTTTAAAAAGTAACACTTAGAAAATAAAAAATGTATTTATTTTAATGGTAACATGTTCTATAATTATAAAATAACTTAATTTATAATAAGATCATTTTGTATGGGGGGAAAACTATTTTAATACACAATACATATTATACTATAAACAATTATTATCCAGTCTAAGTTTCAATAGCAAAAAATATAAAAAAGTAATTTATAAACGGTATTCTTGATTAAACAATACAAACTTAAAATAAAATAAATTAATACATATGGAATTGATGAACACTTAAAATTATTATTATAATTCTTTATAACATGCTAATATGCAGTATTAACATCTAATAATATACCTACTCAAACAATATATTTTATTAGTTATTATATTAAATTATTATTATGTGTTTAAAAAAATTTACGACCATCGTTTTTTAGAGATCATCAAAATATAAACTGATAATAAATAACAATGACCAATTTTCTATTACCAATCTACATTAAAAAACTATAACCATAATTTATGCCTTCTTTACATACTATATGTATATAACAACAAATAAATTAAATTCCTTATAAGTCAAAATATTTTTTTTCCAAATATCTTTATTTGACAAATATAGAATATACTACCACCGACATGTAGATTTGATATATTGTACCATACAGAAATGGAGTTTGTAGCTTATTGATAAAACCTGTTGAAGTTGCTAAGCAAACATAAGTTACTGCCTGTTTATCTGGAACTAATTATTAATAATAAATGTAAAACATATTAATATCTTAAATGGTTACATTTGAACGTTACGTGAAAGTAATTATTACTAACCATCATTCAATAAATTTCATCCTTAGGTTTTCAAATTTAAATTTATGAAGATTATCATTTTCTTTATTTTTGATAATACACAATTTGATATCAACAAGTTTTTGGTGTATTTTCTAAAAGTAACATAATATAGGTATGATTTAATTTTTGATAATTTTAACTTGATAAATTCAAACTTTACAACTGAAATCCTTTAAACATTTTTATTCATATTTATTGTAGGAATTTGATTTTATTAACGAATCATTATATCCAATTGTCCCTGAAACAAAAAAAATAAATAAATATTTTATTTAACTTTCACATGAATATAAAATAAATATACACTATAATAAAGTGATAATACCATTTAGAATTATTTTTTTTATTTTCTGTGGTCATTTATAATTTATACTAATTAAATAGTTTATTATTATCATTTCTCTATTATCTGATTTTTCCACACTTTACTTCCCTCTCATTCATTCTAACTTTCATTGTTATGACTTTCTCCTCAGTACTCTCCTTAATAACCTGATGATTTGTATTATTACCAATCTTATTATCCCTTTTTAAATCTTTTAACATCTCCTTTAACACTCAACAATTTTTCTCACCTCAATAAATTAATATTATACTTACCATACTATACTAAATTACTAAACCTAACTTTATAATTTAACCTAGCTAATAAATCAAACTTATTATTAATATTATTTACTTATATACTATTATTTTCTTCTGTACCTTTAATACGTATCTTAATTGTCAAAATTAATAATATGACAAATTTTTAATAAAACAATAAATATTGTTATGATTACTTTTTTGCACACTAACTACTGAATTATACTTTTTGGGTCATATTTATTATATTATATACACTAAAAAAAAAAAAAAAAAAAAACACTAACTTTTAAAGTTTCAATTGTTGAGGCATAACGTCTAATTTTTTGATGAAGAACTTTTACTTTTTTTCTTAAATCATGTATAGTTTTTTTTTGTGTCATTGCAATGTTTTCCCAATTTTTCTCTGGAGGTTGAAAAGTGATTTTAAAACTTTCTGGTATTTTAAAGCCAGGATCTAAAAACAAATAGAAAAATATAATACAATGAAAAAATAATTGTATGACCATAAAATATAGATACAAATTACTTTTGACATTTTTTAATGTTTGTATATTTGATTTAGATACATCTAACAAATGTGATTTGTCAGCATATAAGTTACTGACTACACATTTTGATGAAATAATTGTATTTTGGAAACCTATATCTTCAGGTATAATTGATTCTTCGGGAAGTTTTAATACATAAGTATGGTCTGATAAATTACTATGACGTTTCCTTGCAGGCAATCGAGAAGATTTTAATTCTGAATCCATAGTCACTTTTTTCTGAGAAGTATTCTGTCTCTCATTCTGATAGTTGAAAATACTTGGAACAGCAATATTTGTTAATTTAATAAGATCAGGTCTTTTTTGATAATCATTAGTAGTAAAATGTGCTTCACAAATCAAAGTATTATTTGTAGGAACAAAGTTTTCTCTATGAAGTGCTTGTATCCACTGCAATCTACGGTTTTCGTCCTTAGGAAATCTATCAAAACAATCAAATATTATAGACTAGTACAAGTAGCCACAGCAGTGCCAAAATATATTTTACCAATCAGTTCAAATTTAAAAATGTAAACATTTACCTACTTGCCTTACTACAATACTATCTTTTAAGTATAGAATTATAATAATGGCATAATAGGCGAATTATAGTTCATCATAACTTTTAATAACAAAATGTTAATTATTCCTAAATCTACTCATTCCACCACCGATTTTCCATGATTTTATATTGAGTTATTAGAACATTTAGAACCGGCTGGTTATGAACTATGAAGTCACTGTAGGTAAACAACTTTCAATTGAAGACCTAACTACTGATAATAAAGAATAGATATGAATATAAATAATATAATATGATTATATCAAATGTCACATACCTGAAATATTTAATTTTACCGTTGCCCTTACTCTTGCAACCACGAACACAACAAGAGGTTGGCATGTTTAAAACTTTAAAAATATGTTATAAACTTTTTACAGTATAATATTTGATCAAAATGAAAAGTATACTGTATACAGAATCTGTTAATTTTAAAAATATATAAACAAAAACGTTTGAACGAAACGAATTACCATGTGACGAATAAACCAATTTTATTGATAATAAATAATATGCTCGACTCTTCTATTCATGATAACAGTAAACTTGGCTCTACTTCGCAATACATTTTTTTATCACAATTCGCTAACACTGGATTGGAATTATCTAAAATAACTTAGCTTAAAAAATAATTTAGATATTTTTAAAATTCCGTTACGTATTTCATACAAAAAAAATCATATTTTATAATCATAAATCATGAAATACGCACAAATTTGAAGTTCCTATGATAAAACTTTTGAATTATAACGAAATAACTAACATCGTCGTTCTTTTTTTAATTACAATTTCGTTCAATTTATTCCAAAATCGTTATGTCACGTTTTTCCGGTCTTTGTAACCAAACTTTTCCAGTTAATATTTTCGAAGTGTCATCAGATCGTCAGTGTCCACTAAAATTCAACTAATTAATTTTATTCACGAAAAAAATGTATGTATTTTGGTTTTTGACTGGTTATGTTTAACATCTATGATATTATTGCAGGTCACATACGTCATACTCTCGCGATATCTGTTACAGATTCATGACTCAATCTAATCAAACTACAGGTATAAATTAAACAGAAACAACATTAAATCTGTGGTTAAATACTTAAATCACAGAATAGATTAAATTAAAATGGAAACTATTGTTGATTATACCATTGGCGTGACATAGTAAAGCATATTTAATTATCCATCTATAATGTGAATCGTAGAAAAATACTCTCGAAAAAAAAGTCCAAGGAAAAAATTCACACAAGAAAAAAAGCTTAAAATTATAACATAATATTGTAACAGTAATTTTCCATTTATCCTCCCACATGGATTTTAACGTTTAAATTATAAGAGCTTTATGTTTATTTTTTTTTTATTTCGTTGTTCGAGTTTAATTTTTATGTAATGGTATAGGAGTATAGGACAAAGAGTTAATATTTAATATTTATATACAATATAAATTAAGTAAACTGGCTTTACTCAAACTAATCGAAATGTCAACAATACCAACAATAAAAACTCGCAATACTCCTTTAGTCCCGATTACTTGAAGCGAATTTATTTTCTGCTCGTCGACGAACAAATTCATGCAAGACTGAACGTGTAGCGACTAGCGACTTGTTCAATTACATTGAGCTATTAAATTCGTTCTCTCGCTTACTAGTCAGTAGTCACTAGTCTTGAATTCTTGATCAGTCGACAGTCACCATAAACGGCATAAAATATAAAGTCGCTTTTACACTAATGATTTTCCAAAGTAGCGCGCTAGGTGATTACACAGAGCGATTTTACTCGCTAGAGTTAAATAATCAGCGAACTGCAAGTAGTGACTAACAGTTGGACGGTCGTCAACAGTGAATATTCTAACACACGCCGACTAGATCAATTACATCGAGCGAGTTGATTCGCCATATAGACTTTTATTACCATCGACTATTTTTTTACCGGAGTGTGTTTATTTTTTTGGAGTTTAAAATCCGTTAGATTTTTTTTCATCGACAATTTTTGCCCGATTGGCGATTACCAGTTAATTTGTATTTTGTTTAATGTTGATTGTTGATATATTATACATATTATGTCAATGGATTGACCGTTAACCGTGCGCGGAAAACCATGATTATGATTATTGATTATTGATTATTAATAAATAATAATAATAATAATAATTGATTCGTGATAATAATCTTGTTCGTTAATGTAACCGCCAACCGTCGTCGACAGTTGTCAAGTGGCAAGTGATAGTCGAGATAAGCGGTTGGTGAAGCACGTTGATACTTGTTGATAACTGATAAGCGGTTTGTCGAAAATCGTAATATTACCAAACACGGTACCGATTTTCCAAAATCTGATTATTATTTAATACCGACAGGCGACGTTTGAGAATTCGAATTATTATAGTATAGACCAGGACACATTCTTCGGTTTGACGATTATTGGCAAATAGTGTGAACATATTCACGTACACATCTACGTCGATCAACCTGATAACGACCACGACGTCGTAGTAATGGGTCAACATTTTTTCACGAGATAAAAAGTATACCCACCTTTGGCTATAGCAATAATATCTGCCTACACTACGCAGCCGTGTTACTGGTAAGACGCATATTGCAAAAAATTTCGACCAACAAATAAATAGGTTGTCGTTGTGCCGACCTATCGATGATCAAACCTTTAACGCGTTTCTTTCTAGTCCTGTGACCTACGATCTCGTCATGTGCGGTATATTTTGTTCGTTCGTCAAAGGATCAACCGTGTGCGGCGAGGTAAGTCTATTGCGACTGCTGCATTTGCACAGTTGTTTTTTCATTCAAAATGAATGTCTCAGGTCTGTTTTGTCCATAGATCAGCAAATGTAGATCGTCGCTGCAGAAGAGAGGCCCAGACGTGGGTTCTGTTCATCGAGTAAATGTCAACGGATATACTGCGTTATTCTCAGGAAATATATTGTGGACTCAAGGAGAGCGGCCAACCGGACAGCCTTATGTGGATCGAAAGGGCAATATACTGCTGTGGAATGGTGATGTCTATAGTTGGAATCTGACAGTAAGTCAACTAAATTAATAAATTTACTCGACACAGATTCATTATTAAAAAGTTCTATTACCAGATGAATGCTAGCATTAAAGACAGTGATACAAAAATAATATCAGATTTTCTATGCGATGGAGGTAGCATGGAATTGCTTATGACTTCTGTCCACGGTCCATATTCCATTATCTATTACGACTGTGAAAAACAAATTTTGTGGGTAGGTAGAGATCCAATTGGACGCATTAGTTTGTTATGGAACATCAGTACAAACAAATTGATTATCACTTCTGTTGGACATAAAGACATTCCAGATCTTAAAGAAGTACCAGCGATTGGGTTGTTCAAATTTAATTTAAATGCATGTAAACTTGGTAAAAAATATGTCTAAATATTTTTTCAATCATGTGCGAGTCATTATTAACTGTTTTATTAATATTTCAGAACCTCAATTATACCAGTGGTCACACACACGTTTTGATTGTGATTATGACATTCCAAATGAATTACAATATTTTAAACAATCCTGTGTTCATCACATCACAAACCCTGAAGATTCTATATTACAACAAAATGATCAATTAAATATGTCTGAGCTATTAACACACCAAGAATTTTGTAAGAATGTCAGTAATCTGATTCACTATTTGTCACAGTCAGTTCAAAAAAGAACAACAGTCAATCCAAAGGCTTGTAAAATGTGCGAGTTCAAATGTGATCATGCAAAAATTGCTATTTTATTTTCAGGAGGCATAGATTCAGCATTACTAGCTCTATTAGCTTCCAAATATGTTGAATCTGATGAACCGATTGATTTATTAAATGTTTCATTTGAAAGACCAATTAATTCTGGAAATTTTGAATGTCCAGATAGACAAACATGCTTAAATACATTAGAAGAATTAAAAACATTATGTCCAACTCGACGATGGAACTTAATAAAGGTGAGTGATATTTTTCTTAAAATAATAAATTGAAGAAAAACTATAACATTTTTTTTTTTGTTTTGAAACTTGATTATATATTTAGATAGATATTCCAAATGTTGAATTACAACAAAAACGTTTTGATACTATACGCCATCTCATTTATCCTTTAAAAACCGTCCTAGATGATAGCCTAGGTTGTTCATTGTGGTTTGCCTCTCGAGGACTTGGTAAATGTAATGGCAAATCTTACAAAACACCTGCTCGGGTAAGTAATTTTAATCTAATGTTTTAATTTTCATAATAATACTAGTTTAAGTTGTTGAACTACAGTTTTTTTAAATATAGTAAAATTATTAATATTAAATTTGCGTAAATACCTCAGTTAATTTATGTAGTAATAATGATTTGATAAATTAATACTTAATTATTTATTTAACACAACAATAAAATTTATCATATCTATCTTATACACATGTGATATTGTAAAACTATTTTATACTTTACTCATGATTCTGTAGTAATGATAAAGCTTAGATTATAGATTAGTATAATCAAATAGACAATAATCTCAAAATAATAAACAATCATCATTTACTCTCTTATAAATTAATTAGACAACCCACAAGCAATGCCCAAACAAAAATTTGAATATAATAATATTATCCGTAATATAAAAAAATGAATTGTCTATTCACTTTTTATCAATATTATTTATTTTTTAACCATAATTATTTTAATTACCTAATATGTTTAGAAAATTTTTCAAGTAAAAATATTTAGAGTAATAAAGATGTTTATAAAACATGCTTAATGATTATTTAAAAAAACTCTCTAAAATACTATATTTCAAAAATATTAATTACTATTAAGATTAAAATATCCATTTATCCATTTACTATAAATAACAAAAATTAATTGTATTTATAAATATAGAATTTTTATATGTTAATAATTATTTGCTCAAATTAAATTCTAAAATGTATCTTTTAATTTTTTACTGTTAATTGTATATGCAAAATAATAAAATTAATAACATTTTTATATTTATAATTTATAACAAATAAAAATTACAATTATTTGTTGAGTTTTGAAGTAAAAAATAAATAGTTTTAATCATTACATATTATTCAATGTTTATAATAGTATTTCAACTGTGCAGGTGTTATTGTCTGGAATGGGAGCAGATGAGTTATTAGGCGGTTATACAAGATATAGAAAAATTTTACAGCGACATGGTTGGCAATCACTGAATGAAGAGTTAGATAAAGATTTTTCTAAAATACCTTCACGTAATCTAGGTCGAGATAATCGTGTGTGTTGTGACCATGGTCGTCAGTTACGTACTCCATATTTAGATGAAAATTTTGTGGAATTTATTAGAGGACTTGCACCATGGCAACGGTTATATATTATATTTAATTACTAAACAATAGTTGAAAATTAATTATTTTTATAAATACAAATATTTTAGGTGTTGGCCAAAAGAACCATATCCAATCAACCTGGGTGAAAAACTATTGTTACGATTAGCAGCTTTCAAATTGGGACTTGTAAATGCCGCATGTTTACCAAAACGAGCTTTACAATTTGGCTCAAGAATAGCCAATAAAAAAGAAAATGGAAGTGATATAAGTGATCGATTATAATTTATAAATAATAAATATGAGTTTATTTTTTTAAACACTTTATTTATCTTATTATTTTTTATACATATTTATAAAGTAAAATTATTAATTTTAAATTAATCAAATTTTTTTCTATAGAATCTTAAAAAATATTAACCAAATTCTTTTTCAATAGAATCATAAAAAATAATTAACAATTGAAACTGCTTTTAATAATACTACTCCTTATGTATTAAAATATCATTAATTGTCCAATGGCTAACTAAAGATATTCTATCAAATGAATTTTTGTCTTCATGTAATTCTCGAATAGTGAATACTTGCAATTTATTTTTTCCTTTTACATGGCCAGTACACCTATTTATAAATCCACATGTAATTAAAAAATGTTTTAAATATCATAAATACTATAGAAACCACTATGTGATGATAAGTTTAGCTTCAGATTTTAGTTGTATTATTATTATATATATTTTAATAAATAACACTTACAAAACTAATGCTCCCTTAGATATATTAGGCATTTTTCTATCTATTTCATAAAATACACATACTATTACAGATTTTTTATGTTCACTTCGTAAACAAAACATTTTTTCGCACTTATTACTGCCAGTTATCACAGAATCCATAATTCCTAAAATTAAAAAATATTAAAAACTATTCTGAAAAATATTTCAAACTAATTTATGTTAAAATCAGATAATATATTAATACATTAGGTATAAATAAATATATTATAGGTTTCATAATAATAACTAATTAAGTGTACCGAATACTTGGTAAATAATTTTGGTCTGTTCCAAAAACGATAACAATCGGCTCCAACGTGCCACTTGTTTGACACTTCCAACAAAAAGCTTTTTGTCTTCATCATTAGACTTGTTGCTATTATTTTGAGCAGTATTAGAAGTAGACAATGTCAATCTACATATTTAAAAATAAATAATAATTATCCTTGACTTGTAAACAGCTCTAAAAATTTAATGTTGGATTTGATTAATGAATTATGAAGTATTCAAAATATAGGTAGAGTTCGCAGAGAAGTTAATTAATTTTTCCCAATAAAAGTTTTAATTTTTTTGTAAAAAAAAATTGGTTATTTCTTGACAAGCAAAATGACAAAACGTTTGGTGATTGAAATACCTATTACTTTTTAGTATAATATTGTACAATTTATGTAGGTAATTTATTAACTAGGAAAATCCGGCATTGGAAAGGTAAAGATATCGATAGGAAAAAAAATAATTCGATCAGTACAATACTTGTTAAAAAATCTCATTACGTGGACTTTGCTTGCGTTTCTAAGCTTCGGCTATAGGGATGATGGCGATTACTGGAACTAGTATAGCCACTCGTTGAAGAATCCATTATCGCGATTCGTAGTGTGTCCCGAAGGAATGTTTAACTATAGCAGCTGAGCTGTAAATTGAGTCTCGGTGAATGTACGTTCTTTCGGACGCACCGACTTAAAGCCGACGACGGTGATGATAAAATATTTGAAGTAATACTATTTTAATACAACAAATTGTAATGTCGTAAAGAACTCAAGACCCTCGATTCCTGTATATTGTTGGAATTTGAGGCTCTAAACTGGTATAAGTACCAATCGGAAAATTATAATTTATAGTACTTTTTTCATGTTCTGCTCTTGGCTACTGTTCGTCGTGAACATAATAAGTTCACACACAATTTTTAGTCAGTTCAACTTAAAATTGCATGGTAATAACACAGAACAGATGATCTATTCAGTATTCACCTATTGAATATTGATTAAATTAGAAATTAAGTTATGACAATATTGTAGTAATTATAATTCGGCGCGTGCCATTGTAAACAAGTGTAAACTAGTTATAGACGTTATAGTAGTTACTGTTACTAGTTAAGTTGTTCAAGTTCAAATTAAATTCAATTTTAGTCAATATTGTTAATAATAGGTATCTTAAACCGTGGTTCAAACTGTCCACGGGCGGCGACGGCTATGATAACTGATAAAACGACTACCGCGAATCGTGATTCTAAAGTAGGTTTTGTCTTGTCTATAAACAAATTTCTTTAGGTATTCGTTATTATATAGTTCTTACTTATTTGTGTTTCGGCTATTTCGATATCAAAATACAAATTATCGATATCAATCGTACAAGAATTAAGAGCTAGTATAATTTATGCCGTTTTCATTTTCATATAACAGTCGTCGTATTTCTGCAGTTTTTTAATAGACGGTACGAGTACTGATAGTGTTTTAACTTCGTCTACTGAAAAATAATCTTATTCCTTTAGCCAGTTCATCGTCTCAAATGATGTAGACTACAGAATTTGGTGGTTCGACTATCGTACCTAACTGAAGAAGGATTTTTCCCGTCGACGTTCGTCTATCAGTTTGCCGAGGAACGTTGAATGTCGATCGGAGTAGAGTGTAAATTCACCGAATAGATTTACAGTAAGTTGAAAGAGTCAATATGTGTTGAATCTGAAAGAGTTTTATTTTGGATAATTGCTTATTTTTCAAGGCTGTTGGGTGATGAGGTTATATTTCGAGTAGGTATGTTATCCAGTATTTGATAGTTATCTACATTTATTAGCTGGAGTCTGGGCATACAATTCTCTCATAAAATAAGATTAGAATCTTATCCAACTTCTAAAATGTTATTGTTTAATATTTTTTTTATTATTACTATTATTAGGAGCTAAAAAAAAGTGCTATTCTTCTAAGATGGATCAAATGTTACCGAGTCCTGGGTTTAGTATTCCTAGTATTGGAACCCCAGTACATCAACCAGAAGAAGATCAACAGATTATGCAAATGCCACCGCTACAGCCACAAGGTCTAGCTATGAGTACTAGTAGTCTACCAACTCAACAGTCGATGAATAAAATATATCAGACAAATAATATGGGCTACGCTACGCCACACAGCATGATGCATTCACAAACACCTGTAACTATTTAAACAATATTTTTATTTTTAACCAGATATTTATTACAGTATTTCTTTGTAGGTGCATCAAAGTATGCCATCTTTGACATCCATCAGTTCATCATCATCGACTATACCAGCGCTACAAACTATTCAAAACCCAGCTACGCCTGCCCCGATGACACCTATGACACCAGCTTCTGCTGATCCTGGGATTGTACCTCAACTCCAGTGAGTTTTTTCTTATTTATGCATATTATTTTCATAATTTTATGTATTTATTTTTATTTCAAGGAATATAGTGTCTACAGTAAATCTTGGATGTCGGCTTGATCTTAAAACTATTGCTTTACATGCACGAAATGCTGAATTTAATCCAAAACGATTTGCTGCTGTTATAATGAGGATACGTGAACCACGTACTACAGCTTTAATCTTTAGTTCTGGTAAAATGGTATGCACTGGCGCAAAAAGTGAAGAAGATTCTAGACTGGCAGCAAGAAAATATGCTAGGATCATTCAAAAGCTTAGTTTTCCAGTGAGTCTTACTAATGTCTTGGTTAAAGTAACAAGTTTATTTATGTGTTTGTGCATTTAACCATTTATTATTATTAGGCAAAGTTCTTAGACTTTAAAATTCAAAACATGGTTGGCAGTTGTGATGTAAAGTTTCCTATACGGCTTGAGGGATTGGTACTCACTCATGGTCAATTTAGCAGGTAGTTTCTTTGATTATAATATTTTATAATGTTAATATATTTAGTGCTAATAAAGTGTTTATTATTATTTAGTTATGAACCAGAATTGTTTCCTGGACTTATTTACAGAATGGTTAAACCACGTATTGTATTACTCATTTTTGTATCTGGTAAAGTTGTACTGACAGGTAATTTATTATCACAACAGTTTACTATCTTAAAGACTAGTTTTATATTATTTTAAAAAGAGATCATTGGTATCAATGTTAACTAAATCATGATTAAACATTGAAAGTATTCCAATACTTAAAATAATAATGATAACATTTATTAACTTTATTCGTGTTATTTAATTTTAAAAATATTTATTTTATTTTTTGCAGGTGCCAAAGTACGTCAAGAAATTTATGATGCTTATGATAATATTTATCCAATATTGAAAAGCTTTAAAAAAAACTAAATTATTATGTGAACAATGTTTCAATTAAATGTATGTTTTATTATTAATGTTTATGAATTCCACTTCCTCTTAACATATTTAATTATTTTAAAGTTAACTTATTTCATTGTACAAAAATATAAAATATTTTCATGCATATTATAATTTATAATATATGATAATAAATCAAAGCAAAATTTAGTGAAACCTCAAAGTGCCACTAAATATATAAATATACCTATTATATACATCAAACTTATTATGCATTCAACCTTAAACTTCTACTTTCCTTTGATGAATAAGTTAGGTTAGGATTAAATAACGTTTACTTAATTTTCCATAAAAAGTAATAATAATAAATTGTAAACAAATAAAATTTAATATTCATAAAAAATAATTTGGTGTTTATTTAAGCTATAATTTATGGTTAATAATCAATAAGCGTATCAATTCTAAATTAGTACATACTATATGCCCTTGTTTTTTTTTCCAATAAAATATATACTTCTATTTTCTAATATTGTGATTTTAAACTTTAGTAGAAACATATTGTATGTTCCACACTCCTGCATTACCTTGCTTATTTTATTATTTTTTAATCAAAAGTAATTTATCTCTTAAGTTATACAATTTTAAAACAATTGTGTCAGTTTTTTATTAATTTTTCTCTATTAAGTATTTATGTTATATTGTTATGACTCCATCATTTTTTACATAAAAAGAACTTTTTTAATATTTAAATTAATTTTAAGCTATTAATATACATTAAAATTTTTTTTTTTTATTATTATTAAATAATTATCCTTGGTAAAAAGCTTTGAAAGTATGATACAGAATTCCTCATAAGTTATAATTAAGATAATTTGAAAATACTAATTAATTGTTCTTAATATGAAAAAAAAACTAAAATATCTGGGTAAGTTTTTTATCCTGGATACTGATTCTTTTTTATAAAATATTTAAAGCTTTAATCATATTGAATAAGCTGAAAGTATAATCACAATATAACAAGTATAAAAATTAACAATTTGCTCTATTTTTCTGATTTTCAATGATTTTTACCAATTTCTAGAAAATTTTGAAACACTTTTTATTAAAAAATAAATTATAAAATCTTATAAAATTCTTTATTAAATTATCTGTTACATAGTTGAACAATAATTTTATTTACTTTATAAATAGATCAACTCTATATTTTTTGACAATATTATGTACATCAAAATACTTTACATTTATTATACATTTATAAGGTTAATATTCAAAATTGTATTAATTCATAACAATTTTCAATACAATTTATTTAAAATATGTATCGATTATTAACATAGATATAAAATAAATGACTATCTATATGGATGAGGTGCTCCAGCAGCCTTTACATTGGTCTTCATTCCAGGAGGTGGTTTGGGCATCATACCCATTGGTGGTGTATTTGGCCCCATGCTAGGAGTAACTGGTCTACCAGTTGGAGGTACCATCATACCACCAGGAGATACTTGTGGTACCATTGGTTTCAAATTTTTACCCATGCTAACAGCCGATACAAGTGTATGCAAGTCTGCAACTGATGAAGTTTGTCCGATACCAACACGAGCTCCAGTTTCTACTTCCCATTCTTCTCTGGCTTTAGACACTAAGTCCAGTACATGATTAACTACCTTGTTGAATGCTGCCAGCTGTTTTTGTGCTGTTTCAAATTGTAAGCCGCCTGCCTTGTGCTCGACCTGCAGAATCATACATAAAATATTATAGCAAATTTAATCACATTAATAATTGAATATAATGAGAGGATAATCTAAATAATACATTTCAATGACCTGCATCAGTTTGTGTTCAACTTCAGGTTCAGTCTTGGTGCGCAAGAAATCAGGTACAATGTCGTGGGATAAGGCTGGTACTCGGTTCTCAGTGATCCGTGCAAGATCCTCATCACGCTCAGGGTTTAACATCAATGGCAGTACACTATAATTACGCAACTGTGGAAGTTTCTCGTAAGAGAGATACTTCATAATGGCAGTGTATTGCGTTGAGAATACTGCAAATGTATCAAGGACTGTCGTCCAATTGACATTGTCTCGTTCATGCTCTAACTTGAATATAAGAGCATATATCTGAGCTTTGAACTCATTCAACTTACTCTGGAAATTTTCAAGTACCAGTTCCAGTTGTTTGTCTTCACGCTGCATTTTCAGATTTTATGTGGGACGGAAATCTAAAAAACAATTTTTATATGATGAACACAGCCTCACTACACTGCGATTACGGTTTCACTGATTCACTGTTAGCTTACAAATACAATTTTGTATCCAAATTTCGTCTAAACACTAAATCTTTGAGCGTGGTATAGGTACGATGTAAAGATCAAGGTAATGCCGATTTTTTAATTTTTCTATTTTTTAACGCTGAAAGCTGAATGTTAAGATAATATAGATTATACTATTTAACTATTATCACTTATTATAGATCCTGAAAATGACAGCAGTTTGATAGCTTAAATTTCTCACCAGAGTACGCTAGCATTTGCTCGAGAGCCGATTTTTATAAATGTTGCATAGGTAGGTATCATCAATGAAGATTCAAGATTGAGATTGAGGTTTATGACTAGTGAGCAGTGAGCACTGGCTACTGAGTACTTTATTAAAAGTTATTCAAACATCAATAACCATAATTTAAACATTATATTTTAAATATTATTAAATTATTATTATTTTTATTATTTAACATGAATAAAAGTTTTAGAATTATTATCTAAAACTAAAGGTAGTAATATTTTGAAGCATATGTATAGATATACTTAAAATATGACGAATTGGTCGATTTAAATAAAATGTTATAATTTTATTACATATTTTTATTTATTTGTTTAAAAACAATTTACAAATGATACTGCAGTATGTACAGAGACAATGTACCTTAAAAATGACAAATTCGTTCATTGTTTACGATGGATGGTTTCTAGGAAATACTAATCGAAACGATTCCAAATTAGACTCACACAGTCACACACACTTATATTTGTTTACATTGCACACATTCTCAAGTCACTTTAATATCTTCATGTTATCTAGCCTATATTAATTAATTCTTTAAATTTAAAACACGACCTACTGCAGCCTCCTTAAGTACCTATAATCTATATACATATCAACTTTATATACGATTTCCTTTATACCAACAATTTTTACACTTTTCAATTTTAATAACATGATTACGTATCTTAATAAATTAAATTAAATTTTATTAAAGATATAAACTTTATTTTTTTTTATAACTCTTTTGATCACCTTCAATTATAATATATTTAAGTAATAAAACACATAAATAATAGATTAGGTATTAAAAAATAATATTCTGGTTGTATCATTTGTGAATTTTTGGATTTCTGTATTATGATATGAGTAATAATATATATTATATATTATATAGACATACAAATCATACAATAATATAGTTACTGCTATATTTTATTGTGAATTTATTTCTATAAGATTCAGATATTTCTAAAGGCAAATTTTTAAAATGGAGATAACACATGTAAATGTGCAGACATCCTTAAGTCTTAACTATTAATAGACTTTCAACATTTTTTTTGTTATAATATTGATAAAAATTTTGCTGGGTCGAAACTTAAAAAAAAAACGTTCATGAGAAATATCTTGTATAGCAATTTATAAAATGTATTTACTTGTAAAATACAAAGGCAACATTTTTTATAGGTACCTACTATTAATTTAATTTTTTTTTTTTCATGAAATATATTGATTCATCCTTAACAATATTTTAATAATTTTGTTATAATTTAAAGTAAAGTTATCTTTGAAACTTAAAACTTTTTGCTTTTACTCATATTATTATTTTTTATACAAATTAAAATTTTAAAACATTCATTCTGACTGTTGCCTGTTTATCTAAACTACAAATTATTTTAAACTTTATTTATACCGTTCTTCGATTTTGTTTGAATAAATGGAATAAATTAACTTTAGAATAAAACTACAAATTCAATTTTAATTCAATTTAAATAATTGAACTTGGAATTACTATTTTACAGAATAAAAAATAGTGATCCTAACTCCTAAGTCACCGGACTGCCGCTTGCCTTAAGAAAATTTTTATCAGTGTGTTTTTTTATTTCATCTGTGTGACTGTGCATACTAACTGCTTATACTAAATTCTTAAACGCTGGTGGCTGGTTATAAATTGAACCATTACGTATCGACACACACCAATTTAAACATTGAGAAGCATGTTAACATAAATATTTGATTTTTATAGCTTCAAGTAATATACTAAAAAAAAATAAAAACCATTAAATTAATAAATAACAATTGAAACTTGTAAGTGTTGATTTAAAATTTAAAATTTAAAATAACATAAAATACTATCACAGTTCACAGAACAATGATAATATTAAAGAATTCTGTGATAATATTATTTTATGTGACTACTGATAACCTATCAGTTTATTTGTTCAATGAATAATATTATTTTGTATTTTGTGTACAGACACAGATTGTAGAGCATCGACATAGGCTATAGATATTAATTATTAAATGAAAAGGTGATCGGTAGTCAGTAGACACGTAGAAAATGAATTTTGAATTGGATTAGTTTTGCCATATTTTATTATAAGATACATACAATGTTTAGAATTGAATCATATATTACGTCAATTATACTAAGTTATGTTGAAAAATACGTAAAGAACTTAAGGCGTCAAGATGCTCAAGTATATTATAATATTACTTTTTACTTTTATTGAATTAATATTAATAATAACTATCTGAACAACTTTTAAAGTGATTAATCTAACGATTAATATAATTTTTAGGTATCATTATGGGATGGAGAAGGTTTATTTCAAAACTTGGAATTAGACTTAGATGTATTGGAAAAAGAGTTAAATTTACCATTTATTGTATTAAGTGGTCATATAAATCAATTATTAATTAGAGTTCCATGGACAAAACTAGGATCAGAAGCGGTTAAAATTACTATTGATACAATAGGTAAAAATTGGTTTCTAGCTACTTGGTTTTAATTGAGTTTTGTTGTTTAATTGTTACATTCTAATTATACTAAACTATATTTTTATGATTTTTTTAGAATGTGTTTTAAAATTAAAGACTCCTCAACAGAGGAAAGCTAAAAAGAATGATACAAGGCAAGTTAAATTTTGCACATATTTTTATTTTTAGTGTAGCCATTATTGATCCACCATTTTTGGTAATGCTACAAAAAAAAAAAAATTTGGTTTATATATTTATATATTTTGTAAAAAAAATATATAAAAAGTTTATTATGAGTTATTTAGGTTTTATAGAATTTTAATCTAAATTTAATAACCAATAAGCAACATTTGGAGGTTTATTATTTTAATGATTAAATTGTAAATTAAACTCTTTTAAATTATCCACTAATAAATGACAAAAATATATACTGTTACTAATTTAACTCCTTTTTTGCCGCCTCTTTTGCCGGGTTGCATAAAATATGTGTTAATTCAATATACTATTAGCTATCATTCACAAAATGATTAATGATTTTTTTATAAAATATCAAAAAGGGATCCTACTTTAGTACTTAACTCCTTGTAGCTTTAAGACCAAGTCTTATAACCTTGAATTTTATGGCATAACATTTAGTTTTTTAAATATTTTCTTAAAATTTTAAAGAATTTTCAGTTTTAACTTATATTTTGAATTTTTATTTTTAATTTAGTTTGATTATTATTATATCTTAGATATATAAAACAATTTTTTACTTATTAATTATTTTATAGCGATAGAGCAAGTACCGATTATAATGAATTACCACCTCCTTCATATGTACAGAGTTTGATTAACAAAATTGTTGGAAATCTATCTGTGACATGTAATAATGTTATATTAAAATATATTGAAGATGATATAGTACTTTCTATGAATATAAAGTCAATTACACTAGATTCATGTAATTCAAATTGGGTACCTGATATTATTGGTAAGTATAACAAGTATAATTTTAGTTTTCTGTAATTAACTATATTTTTAAGTTTGATTTTTATAATTTTTTTCAGAGTTAACACCATCTCAATTGACATTAAGAAAAATTATTAATCTGTCAGATGTGACTATTTGCTTAGATAGAAGAAATGCTTCAGGATGTATAGAAACTTACTTAGAACCATTATTATATAAATGTTCATTATCTGTACGATTATGTCGTATGTTTCGATCTCCTCATTCTGCCCGACCTTATATAACCCAAATGGATATGTTTTGTTCAAAGATTGCTTTTATTCTTACTGAACCACAATTACCAATGTTTTTGAGGTTGTTAACTTTGATATTAGAATTAAATCCAACTGATACTCCAGAAACAAATAACTATGTTGATGATGACAATTATAACAGAAGTCCTAGCAGTTGTAGTTCAAGTAAATCATTTCATATTTTAAAAAATAACATTTTTATGAAGCTCTTTTATATATTACTAAATTCCAATGCTAACATTATTATTATGTGAAATTAGTGGGGAATGCACTAGTTAAGACGCATTTTGGTTGCTGTCTAGGTGCATTCTCTCATGGGGTAAAGCCTAGAGTATATATAAATATATTATGTGATTTGCAAATACCAAAAGTATCTACTATTTTATGAATGTAAATTTATTGTTTCTTATACTTTCTTGATACTATTTTTTTTTCTTTAAGACATTTATATGTTATTAGATATTGTAACACATAACAAAGGAAAGTAAATTAACTAAACTTAAGTTTTAAAAACCTAAAGTGTAGGTTTACTATATTTTTAAATTTTGATATTTAGTTTCAGAATCAAATATAGCCAATAATGATGGTTGGATTGATTGGATGTGGAATTGGGTACCAAGTGTTAATTTAACTACTGAAGTAAATGACATTTCTCTTAGTCAGGAAGCATCTATTAGTGGTGGTCATACATTAAATACTGGAATATACATTGATACTCTTTTCTTTGTTCTTAAAGTAAGTGATTAAAATTAAATTACTTTTTTAATAAACTTATTGATATTTGTTTATTAAAATATATTATTTCATAATTTTATTTAAAAAATTAACCTATAAAATTATGAGCTTTTATTTATTAATTACTAAAATATCTAAGATCTTATCAAGATGATATTTCCATAGATTTTTTTTATTTTAATTCACATTTTTCATATTATAATTATTTTAATTTTATATCAATCTATCAATGATTACACATTTAATACTAGAATAAAAAAAGCAAAATGAAATAACAAAATTACATACTATTTGACTATTTAAAATTGTTTATCTATAGTTATATTTACTTTTTCTAAATATAGTTAACTATAGATAAAATAATAAGTTAAATAATATTTATTTATATTTATGTTATTATTAATTTCAATTATATTGTATTATATGCTTCTAGATCAAATCAAATAAGAAATTAAATGATTATAG